AATGATCATCAACATTACCGGGCTCCGCCTCGCTCGACGTCTGAGGGCAGACTCTGTCTCGCCCGACCCCCAAGGGCTAGTTCCGTCTCGCCCGATGTTTGAGGGCAGACTCTGCCTCGCCCGATGTCTGAGGGCGGACTTTACCTCGTCCGACGTCTGAGGGTTGGCTCCGTCTCGCCCGACATCTGAGGGCTGGCTCCGCCTCCCCCGACGTCTGAGGGTAGACTCCCTCTCGCTTGACCCCCGTGGGCTGGCTCCGCCTCACCCGACGTCTGAGGGCTGGCTCCGCCTCGCTCGACGTCTGAGGCCCGACGCCTATGGTGACATTACCACAATATCGATCCAGAAATCAGGCAGAGCAGATAAGGCGAGACGCTCAAGTCAACCACAATACCAAGGATCGTACCCTGCACACTTGCAGGACAGTACCGTCAGGCCATGCCAGAAGGGTGCTTTGCAACCTTCCAGACATGTCAGAGCCCAAACAGTGTTGTAGGCGCCGACATTTGCCTTACACTGTTGTGGGCGCCGTCATTTGCCCTCGGGCACGGATCCTTACAGAAGCTCGCGACAACCACTACGGTCCGCCGCGCCGCCCGCCGGTGCGGGATGGTACGTGACAACCCGCTAACAATGCCAGGACATGGCATCGTCAGCGGACAGACGCCTAGCGTGGCCTTGTCAGGGTCAGCAGACATGCGCCCGGCGTGGGGCTGTCCCTGTCACCGCCTGCCATATCAGCGGGACCCGCACAGAGGAAAAGGAAGACCCGGCGTCCTCGAAGGACTTTCTTTACCTCTCGTTTTGTTTTTTTCTCCCATTTGTAATCCATGATCTCCCTTGGTCTATAAAAGGAAAAGCAGGGCACCCCACTAAGGGGATCGATCGATTTACTGCATCACACATCACACTACATCACGGCAGAACCACTTGCATCGAATCTCGAGCACATAGCTGAGCTGCAACCGAGCTCTCAGCGTCCATTTGACCTTTCTATCAGAGACAGGGACTTGGGACCTGTCCCTCTCTCGTCTGTTTTGTAACCCCTATTACGAACTTTTCAGTGCTAATAACACGAGCAGCAGCCACGAACTGGACGTAGGGACATTTTGCATGAACATGTATAAACCTTGTGTCTTTTTAGCACACTATCTGGGTCAGACGCACAATAATATAAATTTACTCGTTGGTGTTTACTCGAAACATCAACACGTGCCCTCCATTGGAGTACATGATGTAAGTGGTTCCTAAAAGGTCTCAATTCTCATCGCCAGGTTGTGAGTGAGGTCTATCTTCCAGCATCTAAAATGTGGTCAGACACCGGTAATGAAATGATCATGGGCTGGCGGAATCCAAGCATTTCCCTCGATGGGCGTCTTTATTCTGCTGATTGTCGTGATGGCTGTAAGCTTCGAGTTTATAATAGAGAGATGGGATCATGGACAAGGTTCATTGACACCAGACACCATATGGGAAGCTCACGGTCTCTTGAAGCCGCAGCCTTTGTCTCCCTTAATGGAAAGCTATGCATCATCCGTAACAATATGAGTATCACTATTATTGATATATCAGACTCAACAACAGTAACTGAGGTTGACAGTGCGCGCATGTGGAAGGCTTTTGCTCGAAAGGGGCAGCACAGGTGTTTCATGGCAAACCTGGTCGGCCATCACAGGTCGTAATCTTTAGACAGACATTATGCATTGTCAGGTGCTCCAAGTTTGAGTTTGTCCATGTATGAAGTGGAAACATACTTAGATTTGTAAACAACCTCAGAGCCTGACTTAGAAGCTGAAATGGATAGATGAGTTGTACCAAAGAGACCAGCTTTGAACTCAGGAAATACGCACTGATTTCGTCCTTTGGAACTTTCTAATTTTGGCGCCTATTTGTCAGTAAGGCTCCAAGAGATTGGTTCTGGGGACTGGAGGAAGAATATGACATGGCTCATGAGGCATTTAGGGTTGAATGGCAGCTTGGACCCCATAGGTCAGAAGCGCAGGAAGCACTCACAAAGGATGGTCTAAGCCCTAGAGCAGAGACAGGACTATGACTAAAGCCCGAGAGCTGTTACGTCAGTTTGGTAGAGTGCAGGTCTCCAAAAACTTCCATAGAATTGATGCTTGTTTCAGAATGGTATGCTGACGCTTCAGGAATTTGCACAGCCAATACAGTTACAGGCCACACAAGTTACTGTCATGCTGTCATGCATTTTCAGGAAAGGAAGGATAACAATCCTCTTAACTGTACATATCCTCCTCTTGGTTTATCAGTCATGGGAAGTAATCTTATGCTTATGCCTTGAAACCTTCCCTGCCTGGTTATTGTTCGCTGAGAAGCTGTAGAAACTGATCAGTGCTATTTCTGAAAGAAATTTCTAGACACCATCTACTTTTGTGTTGTGAATAATGCAGTCTTGTAAGAAATACCTAAAGGTTGTCCTTTGAACCATGAACATATCGACTCTATGAATGCCATTGCCATTGAATAACATTTATCAGTGGTTTGATATACTTTGTTGAATTTTCCTCCCTATAGGCATAGTAATGCACTGATGCTACATGCCCAGTCCTAAGCTGGTTTGGTGGATTTGCTTGAAAATTTGTTCCTATGCATAGTAACACTAATGGTCAAGCAGGTCCACGTAACATGCCTCGTCCAGTTGTCAGCACTGATCTGAAAATGATTTGTCAAATTTAGGAGACATGTTTAACACAGACTGAGATGTTTATCGGTTGCTTAGCGATCCTTTTCAGAGGCAGGAATCGATAATGATGATTTTGAACTAGTGATTGTTTTTCTAATACTGATCTGAGTACGTGATATTTTAGTTGGTATGCGAGTCAAAGCCAGGGAAAGAACAAAGAAGTCCATGGGCTGCTAAACCCCTGCCCTCATTGTCAAAAGGCATACCATGGGCTGCTAATGGGGTTAAGTGAATAGCAGCCTTATCTTGTAAACCCTTTTGGATGCATCTCCATTCTGTGGGGAAGAGGGAATTTGGATGGTTTGCCCCCGGCCCCGCCAACTTGGTCCATGTTGCTGACAACTCGATATATATAGTTCTATTGCTTATCTTTGTCTGATTTATTTTTTCCTGATAAAATAACGTGATTTTGTGATTGGATCAACAATGGTCTTTGCATGATTGCTGCAAAGATATGGCCGCATCATGTAGCACAAAACCACATGGCTGATGGCTAGCAAGGTTTTTAATTTCAGTATCACCAAAATTTCGGCCACCACCGAAATTACCGAATTTCGCGAAATTCGGCTGAAATTTTGCCGAAATGTTTTTAGAGATTAGCATATGAAGTATGTTTTTTCTAAAAAAATTGGATCTAAACAAATATTAGTATGATTTATGACTACATATCTATTAAATAGAAGAATATGCAATATAAACAATAGAAAAATATAAGATTAGAGTTATATAGCACATGTATGCACATGTATTAGTGTATTAAAAAATTTCGGAGTTTTCTTTCGGCCACCACCGAATTTCGTGAAATTCGGCCGAAATTTCGCCGAAATTTTGAACCCTGATGGCTGGTGTCCCCTATGGCTTAGTCGTGTACTTGTGAGGACAAGATTAGCGAATATATTGTACATAACAATAACATGGAAGCTACGGTGAGAAGAACGGCGTAGAACCAAATCACCATTCACCAATGCATGATGCATCTCTGCTGCTAGTCTCAGTAGCTAGTGTGATTGCCTTTTGGCGAGAGAGCTGACAAAATGCGCTTTACAGGGGTAAGTAACACCTAATACGCTCCGAATTAAGGGCCGCCGGCTTTCGTTCCTGCTTTCGTGGAACGACCAAATCTGCCGTGACTTTGAGATATTCTGCCGAACCTGTGACTTTCCCCCGATGAACTGTTGTTCCTTGATTCACATTATTTTCTTGACCCATCAATAGAGAGGAGAGGAGGGCTTCGGGCATTCGTTCGACACTAAAGTTTGCTAATTTCCGGACTTTTTTTTCGCTGGAACTAGAAAAAACGAAAGAACTGCAAAAATGACACTCGAAAGATGGGATGACACTCGGGTGGATGACGTCGTGGCGTCGGATGCTTCACCTTACACGAAAGCTATGAGAGTCTTGCAAGTTGCAACTCGCGCGGCGGGGCAGCAGACGCCAGACGGTACAGAGTCCGATACCCTCAGGAAGGCGGCGTCTGAACGTGCGGAAGGCCGGGATCGCTTCCGGCTCCAGCCAAGAACCCCAAGGAGGATCCGGAAAACGACATGGGGATGGGATGTCCTGTGGCGAGGCGGCGTCGACCGTCGACCAGTGCGCACTGCGCTACGCCTACGCTCGTCCAGTTGACAGCCTTCTATAAATTCCACCGCCGGTCGGATCCCATTCGTCCTGCCCCGTGCCCTCGCTGATCAGCGATCACCACCTATCCAGCTCACCACTCCTCTCCTCTCCTCTCGTCAGGGTACGTGCACACACGCGACCGGTGACCGCGGTGTCTTATCCAGCACTGCATTGCATGCACCTCCTGTGCCTGAATCTCGTCGCGGTTTGCGTTTTCCCCGGCCTCCGCCACCGCCACCGCTGCCGCGCGCGTTGCTGCTGTTTCCCAGAGTTCCCAGATTGGCTTGTCCTTTTGCCGCTACTGCCTAGTGCCTACTGCAGAGTTGCTTCGTTGTGTTTCCTTTGTTTCCTCTCCGAGTGGATTCAGTCAGAGTTTCGTCTGCTTGCTGCTGTTCCGACCCAACTCCCCTCCTTCTTCATGTAGGCAATGCCAAATCCAAAGCCTGGTTTTGAAGCAGTTCGTTCGCTCTTGCAACATGGCCAAACTGTTACATTTGCTTGGCATTTCATCCTATTTATTTATTGCAAGCAGCATAAACATTTTGTCCCTTTCTTTTCTTAATTGCTATTTCTGACGCAGTTTCAGACTTCCAGTTGCCTCCAAATTCAGAGCTGTAGCTGATTGAAGGCATTCGTCGGAGTCCTACAGAGCCGAACAGAGCCAGCACTCTCCATGGCTGATGCAAAGGATGCTGCGGTGCCGGCGGAGGCGCAGCCTCTCGGACGGTGGCCGGTCCTGTCCTACGGCGTCGGCCACATGCTGAACGACATCACGTCGGCCTGCTGGTTCACGTACCTGCTCCTCTTCTTGCAGCAGATCGGGCTTGCTCCCAGGTACCCACTGCACAATCTCTGCCGTTTGCCAATAACACAACCTCGCACTTGCGCTAGTGGCCTCACCAATGACTTTGCAGGGATGCCGCTGTTGTGATGCTCTCGGGTCAGGTCGCAGATGGGCTGATGACAATCCTCGCAGGCGAGATGGTATGTATAAACTGCACCGGAACTCGCAGACAGAATATGATTCACTGGTAACTGACTTTGAACGATGTGTCTGTCACATGATCAGATTGACAGATTTGGCCGTTTCAAGCTATGGCACATTGGAGGATCAGTCCTCGTCGGCTTCTCCTTCTCTTCGGTCTTTGGTGGCTGTCTGCTGTGCACCATTCTGGGGACAGATTCGTACCTCGTGAGGACCGTGGGCTACAGCTTCTTCGCAGCGGTGTTCAACATTGGTTGGGCGTCCACACAGGTTTCCCACATGTAAGCACAGCTCCTTGAAACTGGACTGAACCTTTCTCCTGACTCCTGAGTCCTGACATGCTTACAAGATTTGAGTTCTGGCTGATGCATTTTCTTAACGTTTAGGTCGATGGTGAACTGCATGACACTGAATCCGACAAGCCGTGTAGCCTTAGCAAGCTGCAGAAATGCATTCACTATGGTGAGTAGTGAGTACCAGCAATCAGCATTTCATCTTATCGACACTTGTAGCTGCCAGTTATTGTTACAATTCTGCAATATAATTTCTTTTTGCGAATAGAATTATAAATTATCAGATAGGGAACAGGAATCTTCTTACTGTCGTGCCTTTCTATTAAAACTGGTGTACTAGAACTCCACAAGTGTGTGGGCCCATTTATCAATGGTCAATATATTCTGTCCTGTTCCCCTTTAAACAAATCTCCACATGGGGGAATATACTCACAAGAATGGCAAAATACAGGTTGCAAATCTTGGTCTGTATGGGATTGCTTTAGCTGTCTTTGGTGCTATAAAGGCAAAAGAATGCTCAGACATTGTTATTCAGGTGACAAGCAAAAACTTTCAGTTTATAGACCAAAGGAATATAAGCACGTGTCTCTAGTTACTAATCTGCCCTTCATTTCTTCACCCTACAGTACCGATGGATTGCATATCTGTCCATCTTCATAGGATGCTGCTTCCTGGTGGTCTTTCATGTTGGAACCAAGGAACCTACGTACGTTGATATTATACTATTATCTAGAATGGAATAGGTCATGGTGGATATGTATGCTATATAAATTCTGCTTGTTCTGATTGTGTGCTTTTGCAGCTTGAAGTCTGAAACTAACTGTAAGAAGAAGACTCGGATTTCCTGGGGCTACTGGTTCAAGAAGACCTTGTACTACCAAGTTGCTCTCCTGTATATGCTTGCAAGGCTGATCACAAACGTATCTCAGGTTGGCATATGGAGCCATGTGCAATCAGAAAGTTTTTGTTTCTTAATTGGCTTGAAAATGCACATGGCATGCTCTATCATCAGCTTTGTCCTTAGCAGATTTTTAGACAAGGTTCCATCTTCCATGCGTTTTAATTTGTTTGAACATTACTCCTAAGATCTACTTTTTTTATTTCCATCCAATCCTAATTTCAAACTATAACTTTTTAAAAAAGGGTAAAATCTTTAACCTTGCACTATCAGGGTATAATAAAAACCGAGTACTCAGTCTACTTTGTTGAAATAAACCATGTTTAGCACTGTATCCTGTGCCATGAGAACTTTTTGAAAGGGAGCCCTTTTTTTTCCTGCTTCATGGGTACAAGCCAGAACCCAGAATTAAGGCATGTTTGGTTCACCTAGTAGCTCCTAAATTTAGTAGCTTTTAGTCACCTTAGTAACTTTTTTGCTAAACACTGTGACTAAATATGGCTAAAAGGGCTTTAGTCCTCTCTATTAACTCTGGAATTACTAAAAGTGACTAAACCATTTAGTAGCTCCTAAAGTTTAGTAGTCCAAACCAAACATCCCTTTAGCTCTGTCATGTTATCATCTCTGGCATTTGATCTCTTATATTTGCTCATGTTCTCCTTTCCAGTCGCTCATCGCTTTCTACGTCACCAGAGATTTGAGAATGAATGAATACTCGAAAGCAATAGTGAGTTCTTTCACTCCTTTGCTGCTTGAATTATTCTCTATTTTTTGTGGAAAAATAAAACTTTTGAGTGAGGCACCGACGACAGATATGAGAATTACTACTTTTGCTCTCCTTTTTTCCTCACCCCTTTGACTCTGTCTGCAGATACCAGCCATCATATTCTGCTGCAGCTTCTTCGTGTCCATCGTCCTGCAGGTCCAAATCCAACACTTGCACAAGCAAGAACAGTTACAGACCTGTTGTACTGCATTGCAAAATTCAGTCTTTCCGATCCTTGCTCACCCATCTCTGGAACTGCCTGCCTGCAACACAGGAGATCAAGTGGAACAGCCGGCGCCTCAAATCCCTCCTTACCGTCGGCGCGACACTCTGGGTCATCTCCGGCGTCGCCGTCTTCGTCCTCCCGAGCGAGATGCACAACCTCATGTACCCTCTCGCCATGGTCATAGGCGTCGCCAACGCGCTCGTCATGGTAAAAACATAGGCGCCTAGCACGCCACGCTGCCCGTCCAAAGTCTTCCAGTTTCGCGTGCTCTGGCTTACATTACATGAGCAGGTCACGACGGTTGGGCTGGAGAGCGCGTTGGTAGGGGAGGACCTGAACGGCTGCGCCTTCGTCTACGGCTCCCTCAGCTTCCTGGACAAGATCTCCTGCGGAATCGCCCTGTTTGTGCTGGAATCGTACGAAGGTAAGTGACGTCGAGATCGGTAGAAATGCTCGAAATTTTGTGTTTCTTTCTGCTGGGAAGGCCGGTAGCTGATCGGGCGGGCGCAACACTGTCTTTTTGGCTACAGACACGATGAGCTGCGGCGAGACGAGGGGCCTCAACACGGTGAGCAGGTACGGTACGGGCCTGATCCCCTCCTGCTTCGCCGTCCTCTCCCTGGTGGTCGCATCCACTCTGAGGCTGCAGGACACCACTCCGACAGCCGCTGCACTGGAAGCCCCGCTGCTTGTCTGATTGACTGAAGAAACCGGTGGTGATGATATCGATCGGGCCGAAGAAAGAAGAAATGTGCATCCCTCTTCAATTAGGTTTGAAGAGGAATATGTCGCTTGCTTTCAATTAGATTTGAAAGCAGACCACTTCGTAATAATATTTGCCATGCCGTCGTGTTGGCATCATGGCATATATCATCACAGATGCATAGTTTTTTTTGTGTGAAAAATATATGAAAATAAGTTGTCGTACGTAACTCAAATTTGTGCGAAGCTTGTGTACACGTCATCAGATTATTATACTACAGAGCAGGAACAGCATCGTGAAACAAAAGACTAAAAAGAGTGTACATATCCGTGTGAAAAAACTAGAGATTTGAACACGCTGAAAACATCCTCGACACTGAATTCATCAGCTTCACAGCTCATCCTCCGACCGGTACTTGTCCGCGTCCGCCCTCCGGTGCTTCCCCTTGCCGTCGGCGTTGGCGTCGGCGTCGGCGTCGGCGCTGGGGCCGGCGACCCTCTCCTTCACCTCCTCCAGCCTCTCCTTGGCCATGTCCGCCGTCTCCCGCGCCTTCTCCTTCACCCTCTCGTACCCTTCGCTGGCCTTCTCCTTGGCCGCCTCCACCGTCTCCCCCGCCGCGTCCTTGGTCGACGCCGCCTTCTCCGTGGCCATCCCCTTGGCGGCCTCCTTCGACTCCTGCGCCTTCTTGCCGGCCGCCTCCGCCTTCTCCCACGCCGCGTCCTTGGTCGCCTCGGCCTTCTCCTTCGCGGCGGCCGTCGTCTCCCACGCGGCGTCCTTGGCCGCCTGGGCCTTCTCCGCCGCCGCGTCCGTGGTCTGCCGCAGCGTCTCCTGCGCCTTGCCGGCCGCGTCCTTGGCGCTCTCGTACCCCTGCCCGGCTCTCTCTCGGGCCTTCTCCTCGACCTTGGCCTTGCCCTGCTTCGACAGCTCGTGCGCCTCGGCGGCCTCCTTGGTCTTCTGCTTGGCGTACTCCGCCTCACTGGACGCCTCGCCGGCCGCGCCCTTCACCGTCTCCTTGGCCTTGTCCTTGACTTGCCCGGCCTTGTTCGACGCGCCCGCCGCGGCATCCGCCGCCGCCTCCTTGGCGTCCCCCGCCTTCTTCCCTATCTCTGTAGCATGGACGCGACCGGCGTCAGCACGAGCATAGCACGCACGAGAGAAGAATGGTGCGCGGCGTGGATTTCTTACCTGAGGCGGTGTGCTGGGCGGACTCGCGCGCGGACTTGACGGTTTGGCCGGCCTTGCGCGCGGCCTCCTCCTCGTCGACGTCGGCGTGGTGCTTGAGCTTCAGCCCCAGCCCCTCGGAGATCTTGTCCTTGGCCCAGCCCGTCCATGACTCCTCCTCCTTGTTGCTCTCCTCCGCGACGTCGTGGACGTTCGTCTTGGCCGCCACGCCCACCGCGGCCGCCGAGGCCACCGCCAGGAGCAGCAGTAGCAGCAGCGCCGAGGGGACAGCGCGGCTCCTCGACCGCGAGACTACCGCCATTGTTAATCTTCTGAGCTTAAGCTTTGCAGCCGCGAATACTAGCTGACTAGCTGTGTTCGTGTGCTCTTGTCAGGGATGCACGCTGATCGATCGTGCTGGGTTTTGGGGAAGCGGAGGGTTTTATGGGCGCGAGGGGTTTGGACGCGTGTAGGGGGCGGTTCGAGCGAGGCGGGTGGCGCGGCGACGGGTGTCCGGCTGAGGTGGCGCGTTGCCGCACGCGTCGTCTCAGTCGGTCACCGTGATCGCTTTGGCCTTGGGATCACTGGCTCTTCTCGTCGCTTCGCTTCTCGTTTTTTTTTCCAAAATGGTGCAACACACGCGTATGAGAACGAGTCACTCGGGTCGCCAAGGTGGCAGCACGGGGGACGATTGGCGGAGAGCCGGAGCCAAGGAGACGCATATCATGGTCGTGCTACGGGTACGAAAAAGTTTACTCACCACATACATAAGTTTAGGGAAGTCACGTAACAATGGAAATAAAATAAAAGTATGAAATAAAATAAAATAATAATTAAATGTAAATCAATGGAAGAAAAAATATAATATAATATGGAATATAAAAAAGAACGTAACAAAAACATATACAACATCATATAGATACTACTAGAATAATCTAATATATACATAGAACATGCCACGAGTATACGTGAATACTCAAAATCATCGTAGAACATCATATTTATATTGAGTGAGCATCACAAAATGCATCATAAGAACATGATATGTATACTACGTGAAAATCACAACTAAACATAAGAAAAAACATAAATAATGAAAAAACATGTAATAGAGAAAAATAAAAAAATATCAGGTATTACTTGAACAATCTAAACATATATCACGGAGCATCTAACAAGTATTATATGAATATACTTAAAGATAATCATGGAGGATCTCACATATACTGTGAGAACATGTCGTAGAACATTACATGTATACTACACAAACTCCATATATATCTCATGAAAATGTAGAAATTAAAAGAGTAAAAACCACAAGTAAACTCGTCTAGATGCCTCTAAATAGGCTTAAGGTATGTTTGGATTGCGGGAAAAAATGACTGTTTCTACGTTTTTTCTGTGAAATTGAACTTATTCCTGTAAAATTCCTGTGAGATTCCTGTAAAATTCATGCATTCCAAACAAGCCCTTAATTTTTTTATATTCCTAGATACACATGTTTTAATTCTATTTCCTAGCATATGGTGGCCCTTGATTTACCTAATATACAGCGTGTTTGGTAGTGCGCTCATAACCGTTGCAAAGACAGCTTTACCTAGGACTGAATGTCGCTACTCCGTTCCGCTCCACTGGCTATTTTACCTCTCTGGAGCTGGATGAGATGCAAGGAGTAAAAAAATAGCTTCTTGCTAGACCAGTTGGTCAAGCCTCGAGTGGTATTTCCCGTGACTAGAGTTCGAATCCTTGGTCAGACGAATTTTTGGTCGGTGGTGTGAAAAAAACTCCCTCGTCTGTCCCGCGTTCCCAAAGCACAGATAAAATAGACTGGCCTTCTCACCAGGTAACATGCCCTTGTGTGTGGGCAGGGCATGGGGTTTGGAGGTTTTCTCGGACTAGGTGAGAAGTCCTCTACCTTAAACTAAAATAGCTCGAAGATGTCTACCCCGCAGCCTAAGTCTTTTTTCGGCTCCTCATCCATGGGCATAGATCTTATCCGGGAGAGAAGAAAAAAATTAAGTTGTTATGAATATTTTATCTTTATTTATCTATTGTAAGGAGCTTTTTTAACAAAAGCTATTAAACTGGCTTCAACTCGAAGTTGCTCGTAGAGCCAAAGAAAAAAAATAAGCTATTCAACAAACGAAGGAGAGATGTAATAATCAGACCCATAAAATAAATAAAATAAGGTATACGTTCTGTTTGGCTGATGGTTTTTAGTTTTTACTCCTGATAAGCTAGCTGATACTATTTTGTCGTAAGATTTCTGTGTTTTTTTTTTCTAAAGAAAAGCTCGCTGCCCGGCCTGTGTATCCTCTTCCAGCCCAACATCACTCAGCCTTTGCACACCCAAGACGGGTCCAAAATGGAGCGCGGTAGGACGGGCCAGGCCGTGGTCGCCGCCACCCGCCACACGACAAGGAGTCCGACCGAAGCCGCGTCTGAATTGAGTTCCGAAACGTGCCGAACCCAACATCCGCGGTGGAAGTACAAAGAAAGATATCTGGAAGACTGTAGCGTGGCTGCCGTGTCCAACTGTCCACGTTTCGCTCCGCATTTCACTCCTCGCACTGGTCCGCCTCGTCGCCTCGCTTTTTGTGGAACGTAAAAATGGCAGCTTCCTCGCCGTCCCTCCCGCCGCCGCCGGCAGCGGCGGCTGCGGCCTCCACCACGCTGGCCGGGAACCTCACGGCCTCCTCGCTCCTGTCCATCCCGCGGCCGCGCCCGCGCCTCGCCGCGGCGCACCGCCGGACGGTCGTGGCCGCGGCCGCGTCGCCCCGTCCCCGGCTTCCGCCGCCGTCGGAGGGGGACGGCGACGAGCAGGAGGTGGAGAGGGCGATAGGGATGGATGGAGGCATACCCGGGACCTCGGACGAGTTCCTGCGCCGCGTCTCCTCCCGCGCTTACGGCATGCGGCGCCACCTCATGGAGTCGCTCGATTCCCTCGCCTACGACGGTATCGCTTCTTGGATCTTATTAAGCCTCTCCATGATCGATCAAGTTCTCGTTGCGTTAACTTAGTTTGGTTTAACGCTTGGGGTTTAGCGATTTAGCATAGCTTAAGGTGTTCGTGTCTGTTAGGCCGAAATGTTCAGGGTTTAGTTGTGCGCGCGGCGTGTTTGATGAAACGCGTGGTACGAATTGTCCAATGATGCGATCTTTGTGTGCACGGGAGGATTGCGTGCTGCAATCAATTGGGGATCAGCATCTACTCTGCGAGGTTTGTGGGTTGGTTCACGCGTCTTGTGTTTCTTGAGATGTGCAGTTTCAAGTGGGCAAGATATGGCTTCATCTGTAGGCTAATGATTAGCTCTTGCAGCCATAGCAGTTTCCTCAGATTCAATATATATCATGTGTCGTGCTACTTGACCAATTGGACAAGCCTGTTGTGGGCCATTACTAATTGATATGCATAATCTTCTTGTAGTAACTAGAGACTGTATCCAATGGTCAAATAGCTGTGGATATTTGATTAGCTGAGCTGATGCACATACTTTGAAAAGTTATCAGTTGCCATTTTTTTTCAAAAAATCCTTATGCTAAATATACATGATAATTTGGCACGTGGCAATTTTAAATTTATTAACTCTGTGCACTTTCATGATGATTCAGTACTGGAGACAAACCCGTGGAGAGAAGATTCCAAGCCAGTCTATGTGCTGGCCAGAAGCGATAACCACCTATGGACAATGAAAACTCGCAGGAGCCGCAAGTGAGAATTTATTGATGCTGTTACATTTAGCCTGTCACGAGTCTGCAATTTACTGAACCGTATGAACTGCTGGTGTTATCTATTATTGTCTTCTCAGCGAAGTTGAAAGGGAACTTGGAAAGCTTTTCTCAAAGGGAGGGGGTTCTGGAGTTGGAACTCAATCAAAGTACTCTGGCTCCAAGTTTAACATGGTTGTTGAAGATATCAGAGAGGGAGTACTGGTGAGTACTTTGCTGGCTTGAGATGAATTTTTGAGGGCATGTTCTTCGTAGGCAACTGGTTCTTTTCTTTCCTCTGGCTGTCTAACACATTTAACTTGTTTATTTAATCCATCATATTCACACTCTTTTAGATTATGCACAAATTGAGCTAAATATAGGTTATGCTGCTAGTTTCTTGATCAAACATGAAAAAAAAAATCAGGAGATTGGACTTATTGACCACTGCAGTAGAATTACTAATAAGGTGTTGGCCATATATGCCTAAAGAAAAGCGTGGATATACATCTTGTTATAAGCCGAATCAATACTCACTTTTGTACCATAGTAAAAGAAGACGCCATTGCACTTTCCTGAAAAAACCTAGATGTGATATTTGGTACAGTTACTTGCTTTATATTCTTCTGAATCGTTTCCATCCTTTGCTGCAGATATTTGAGGATGAGGACGATGCTGTAAAATACTGCGACCTTCTGCAGGGCGGCGGTCAAGGATGCGAGGGAATTGCAGAGATAGAAGCATCATCAGTAAGTAAATTATTTGGTGGACCTTAACGGTTTCTGGTTACCAACTGATCATAATGTACAACTCGTCACGACTGTGCTCGTTTGTAGGTTTTCAACATGTGCCGTAACATGAAAGCCCTTGCTGTTCTTTTCCGCCGTGGAAGGACTCCTCCATTGCCTCAAAGCCTGGAGCGCGACTTAAGGGCGAGAAAGCGGTCACCACTGGAAGACTAGAACTGTCTGTTTACACTGTATAGAATCGTTAATTGTATTCATCTACCTGTTGGAAGCATGGGCCCTAGGCCTTGTATACAGCATAGTAGTACATAGAAGTCCCTAGCTGAAAGGGAACCAGACGAGTCTGACAGCAAACACAGACGAAATTTCTCGAGACCAGAAATTTCTTTGAAATTGGATGGATACTCTTGTAATTATGAGCAACATTTTTACAATGAATAAAATGTGATACATCAAGTTATTATCATTATTTGGTGTCATCCAGATCCAACTGGTGAAGAATAGTGCAAGAGGTTGACAACACGGCGAGTCCAAAGAATTCCTAGTCATGGCTACTGTTGATGATACATTGATACAGGGCTGTGATTGTGAAATGTGTCAAAATTCAGGGCGATGTGCGCCTCTCAGTTAGCTTCTCCCTCCTGTACTTCTTGAAATCTGCTGCCAGCCCCGTGCCCAAGTCCTGCTTCATCTGCTCCGCCATCTGCCTCAACACCTGCGCATTGTTCATCACAAACGAAATGCCTGTCAATCATTCCGGTGAAGAAAAACACCGATGGTTTGTTTCTCTGCAAGAGCAGGTGAGGAGATGAATTTAAGCTCTGACCGTCTCGCCGACGCCTCTGATGATGCTCTCCGGGACCAAGGCGAGCACCGGCGGGAGGTCGAAGCCAACGGTCATCTCGACGTGGCCCTTGAGGCTCTTCTTCCCCTCCCGCTGCCGCTGCGGGTACATCAGGCCTCGCACGGTGAGGGCCAGGTGCGACGGCATGGCGTTGCTGTCCAGACCATTCAGCTTGTAGTCCGTCTGCTCGCAGCAGCAGCAGCAGCAGCAAAGCACGTCAGGGTACATTACATTCAGACAGACGCATGACGATCCGGGAGTGATGGAGTGGTGTCAGTTACCACTTCCATGAGGAGGAGGCTGGTGGCGTGGACGGGGACGTTGGGCGGTACTCCTTCCCGCCGGACTTGCTGACGAAGCGCATGACGATCACCGGCGACGCCGACAGGAAGAGGAATTGGATGGGCAAGAGCTGCACGCTCCATTCTTCCTGAAAGAAAGACGGCAGCCAGTGGCACTCTGTTAGCATTGCGTGTACGTGTCATTCACCCGCTCTCTTGCATAGGTGATAGGTCGCCCAAGCAGTGCTTCCTTCTCCCGTTTCGTAACGTTGAAGCCATTGGTTGCCGGCAAGGGAACTGTAACTGATTACTGATCTCGCCGGAAATTCAGGTTTCAGAGCCAATGAGATGAAATGAAAGGCACCGAAAAACTTTCAGCATTTTCAGTGCGAACACGTTCTGACTTCTGAGCAACACCAGTACTACAGAACTTGAGACATGAAATTGATGAAGAAACGACGGGGAACTCACATCGTTGATCTTTCTTCTTTGCGCTGATCCGGAAACACGGCTCCGACGATCCTGGGACTGTTCTGCAGGTACTCATCGATGGACGCCTGCAGAGACAGAGACAGAGAGAGAACCTCCATGGAATCAGATCATCTGAGATGTCCAGTCGTGCAGAGCAAAAACCCCCAAGCCGGCCAATCCTTAAGCACTTGCAACCTACCCCTTGCGTTTCGCTCATCGGGATGTCGGTGCTGAACTTGTAGGAGAAGGTGAACAGGTCTCTGGGGTTGACCTTCTCCCTCGATCCGCCATACGAGGGCGTCTTCAGAGCGCATCGGGCGAGCGACGGCCGCGGCGACGGAGAACTCAGGACGACGCCCTTTCTTGATCTCGAGCTTGGTCTCTGATCCGCCGCTGATCTGAGCGGTGTGCTCCCTCCTGATCCAGCAGCCCTATACACTGTTGCATGCATTACCCTGTCATGACAGCCATGCATATGCATATGCACGCTCGCTCTACCAAACTATGTGCAAATTTCTCAAACAAAAATGAAGTGATACAAAAGTATGAAGTAGTGCAAGGAAATGCTCCGTGAATGGAAGAAGGGAAGTTAGGCACCTGGATGGACTGCAGGACGGCATGACGGGAGGTGTATCATTGACATGTCTAACCTGCAATGGCAATTCCTGGAGTCTGTGGCGTTCGTTCCCCGGCCAATAAGTAAGTAGTTGGCTGCCGTGCAGGGGTTGAGCATTCTTGCAAGGAAAGACTCTCCCTCCCATAGCGTGCGTTTCCCTCTCCGCCGTAGTAGGCGTAGGTCCAACAAGCCGCGTCTCTTCTTCCAAGTTCCAAGTCGCGCCAGGGCCCAGGGGTGCAGTACAGGCCATGTCTGTCAGACGCTAATAGCAGCGGGAAACATGGGAAAATTGTGAAAGAAAAATTAGGCACTGCTGAGTGCTGAATGATGGACACACGTCACTGGAGAGATGGGGGATATTTTGTTGTGTGCACCGATTCGCTTGCCACGTGCAGGTAGGTCGGCACACTTCTTCTCTCGTCATGTGCACAATTTTGACCCATTTCAGGGAGACCCCAAGGGACTACTATATTTTAGTTTCTAGTCTTTATTTTAGTCTCTGCTGTTTATTTCAAAGATACTAAGGTGGTGTTTGGATCACTAGTTCAAAGACTAAAGTTTAGTCTTGCTGGACTGTTTGGATCCATGGACTAAATTTTAGTCTTCTAATCTACAATGACTGATTTACCCTCATTTAATTATTCATACACAGCCATGCATGCGAGCGGCAAGAGGTATGTGACGTCCCGCGCTCGCCCCGAGGGAGTTTAGCCCAGTTTAGGGCCTCTTTGGGAGCAAAAGATTTTAGTCCAATTTTTAGCCATTTGTCACTTTTAGCCCCATTGTTTGATTCCCATGGAAAAAAAAAGAGGGCTAAAAGTACAGGGCTAAAGTTTTACCATGGGATCCAAATAAGACCTAATTAGGATAAATTTACAGCTCGTTCGGCTGGTACACAAGACTATTATGTACTAATTTGTTCCGGCTAGTTTTGACTCATTCAACAATGTTGTGTGAGATAGAATAAGCTGAAACAAGCTGAGACAAGCCGAGCCGAACACACTGGTAGTCTTTAGTCCCTTCTCCCGTAAAAAAACACGCCCTAATAATAGTAGTATAGTGTATGAAGGTAGTTGAAGCTTCCAAGGTTGGATTGTGCTTGCTTTTTTTTCATTCAAATAACACAATTTCGAGATATTTCGCTTCACAAGTCGTGCGTACACGGAAACCCCAGACCTGATTGCCAACCTCCAAATGCAAAGGGCACAAGTATGCACGGCTGTGCGAGCGTGCCAAAAACAAAAATGCCTGATTCCTTCTTTAGACCTGTTTGTGATGCGACGAAGGTTTTTGTTACAGTGTTCTTATGAAATTAAATTGATTTCTATGAAATTTCTCCATAATTTTTATAAAATTCCTACGTTCTAAATATGCCTAGTTTTTTTATTACAGGCACGAGCAGCACACGACACACTCACAAGATTCCAGTTAGAACTGACGCTCCCTAACACTTTTTGTTGAATTTTTAAACGGTCAAAACTTTATCAAATTTCACCAACAACCATTTCACGGCATAGCACACACTTTATATCAAACAATAGAACCAAAATATTAGGGCGTTATTTAACTATTTTGCATTTTATAAAGCACCAAAAAGTGTACTTTCAACACAACTTAAAATTTTTGCCGATCCAACGAAAAGGACTAATTTTAATTTCCAATTTGATTTTTGAGCTTCCAAGAACACTAATTAACAACCTTTACTTTCCAAACGTTAATGTTGCATTTTCATCTACAAAACTTGTACTTTAATTTTTATTTAAGTACTAAATACAAGTTATGTTTTATTCTAGTTTATAGAAATCGCTTTTTGTGCCAAACAATTAAAACTACTTTTCTTTTTTTTTTGTTAGGATTTTCATTATCGCATTTGATTAAACTAACTCACTATACTTAGATCTATTTCTCATACCGTAATCTCAATGCTTAGTGAGCTCGTAATACCAAAGGTGTTAAAAAGAACTGCCTTGGTTGCAATGCCTCACCACCGACCCTGTCACCGTGCTCTCTGAAGGAGTTAGGGACAGCTCTCTGTAACCTGCAGGCTGACCAGCTGGAAGAAGACATCCTGATGAACAAGAACAAGCTTGAGCCAGTGGGCAAGAAAATGAAGAAAAGTAAAGAGAGCAAGGATGGCAAGGACAAGAATGAGGATATGAATGATAACAAGAATGAAGACCACTAAACCTCGAACCTCGCTGGTGGTTTGGGCGTTTTGTTTATTTTGTTTTGCCCTTTATTTCCGTACCTGTTAGAAGTCCTACCTTTTGTAATCTGAATTGGTGTCTGATGGACCTGTTGTTAAGTAAAACTCTGGTGGTTGCTCTTCGTTATTGCTTCTTTGCTTTTTTCTATTTTGCTGGTGCTTTACTCTTTTCTCTGTTGTTCTATTTGGTTTTGGGTGTCTGCATGGAAGATTGTCTTCCTGCCCCTATTCTTTCAGACTCCACTTGTTCCACATGACACAACACAAAGATTGGAAGATTTTGAACTGGAATGTCAGAGGAGTGAATTCTGACAAGAAATGGAACTCAATCAGAGACAAGATTGTAGAGAGTAAAAGTGAGATCATTTGTCTCCGGAAAACAAAAAAGAGAGAGCTTTGACAGAAACTACATAAAAAACTTCTGCCCCCAGACTTTGATGCCTTTCAGTTCCTTCCTTCCATTGGTGCCTCAGGTGGAATTATAGTAGCCTGGAAAAGTGTTGCCTTCTCTGGCAACCTGGTTTTCAGCAACAGCTTTGCCCTCTCCATTGAGTTCACCTCTAAGCTCAGCAATGACACATGGATCTTAACTACTTTCTATGCTCCTTGCACCCTATCTGGTAAAATAGAGTTTCTAGAATGGTTTGGTGAGATTGATATGCCACATGACATTGATTGGTTGGTGGTGGGGGATTTCAACTTAATCAGAAGGCCAAAAGATAGAAACAAAGAGGGAGCTGGCCCAAATGAAATGTTTGCTTTTAATGAAGCCATTAGCAAGCTAGGGCTGGTAGAACTGCCACTTCATGGCAGACACTTTACTTGGACAAACAAATAGTTCCCACCACTCCTGGAAAGGCTGGACTGGTTTTTCACCTCCAACTCTTGGACTTCCAAATACTCAAATTCATTAGTCAAAACCCTTGTCATGGAGACATTTGACCACTGGCCATGTGTTGAAATAGGCACAACAATCCCTCAATCAAGTATTTTCATATTTGAAAATTACTGGCTAAGTCATGAGGAGTTCCCACAAGTGGCAGTAAATGGGTGGTCAGCTCCTGATCACATAATTGACCCAGCAAAAAGAATAACAACAAAGTTTAAGAACCTTAAGAAAGAATTGAGGAACTGGAAGGGGCAGCTACCAGGACTGAAGAGGACCATTGAAAATATCAAACTGGTGTTGAACTTGCTTGAGACTGTGGAACTTTACAGAGGCTTGTCACTGCCTGAGTGGAACTTCAAGAATCTAATTTCTGGAAAATTGATCTCATTATTAAAGCAACAAAGAACATATTGGAAGCAAAGGGGGAAAATAAGATGGGTCAAGGAGGGAGATGCTGGTACAAAAAAATTTCATGCTCATGCAACAATAAGGCATAGAAAAAATAGCATCGCATGTATAATCTGGGCAATGAGGTTTTTAGCCATGAGGCTAAGGCTGAAATTCTGTGGACAACTTTTAAAGAAAGAATGGGCAAAACTGAGTTCTCCTAAATATTCTTTGACCTTGGACAACTCTTGCAGCCTGATGAAAATCTAGAAAGATTGGAAACACCTTTTACAAAGGAAGAAAATAGAAGGGATTGTATTAAATCTACCTAACAACAAATCCCCAGGACCTGATGGTTTTAACAATGAATTCTTAAAGGGATGCTGGTCATTGATCTCCTTTGACTTTTTCAAGTTGTGTGAAGGTTTCTTCAGTGGGCAAACTTGCTTGAGAAGCATCAACAGTTCTCATATTGTGCTAATCCCAAAGACAGATGGCCCTCAAGAGGTGTCTGATTATAGACCAATTTCACTGCTTAATTCTTCCATCAAGCTGTTAACCAAAATTCTGGCCAACAGATTGCAAAAACCTATCAAGAGCCTCATTCACCAAAATCGGTATGGCTTCATCAAATCTAGAACTATCCAGGATTGCCTGGCTTGGGCTCTAGAATACATTCACATTTGCCACAAGTCTAAAAGAGAACTCATCATTCTGAAATTGGACTTTGAAAAGGCATTTGACAAGATAGAACATGGAGCAATGATTGACATCCTGAGAGCAAAGGGTTTTGGGTAAAGATGGATTAATTGGATAAAGGCTATCCTTGATTTAGGAAATTCTTCAGTACTTCTGAATGGGGTGCCTGGGAAAATGTTTCACTGTAGGAGAGGGGTCAAACAAGGTGGCCGCTTATCACCCCTCCTTTTTGTTCTAGCTACTAACCTCCTTCAGTCAATAATCAATAAGGCTAAAAACCCGAGGCTGTTAAACTTTCCAATACCCTTAAGCTACAATGATGATTTTCCAATAATCCAATATGCTGATGATACTCTTCTGGTAATGGAGGCTTTTTTTTTCTCAAAAATGCAGGAGAGCTGCGCTTCATTAAATTAAGAAGAGAATAAAGGGCAAGAGCCCAAACAACACCTTACACACCACACACACACGCACACACCCTAGTTTCTAGGATTACAGTCGCGTCGTTGACATAAACACACAAGACGACCACTACTGAGTTAGACACTCTAACTACCGGGGAGGAGGGCAGTCAGGAAAGATAATCCTCGAGCCCCTGCCATAGACCACAAGCGGCGTTCCTCGCCAGCTAAAATCAGAGCACCAGCTAAGCTTGGTGCTGCTCCATCGAAAACACATCCATTGCGATGGTTCCAAATAGTCCATGCTCCAAGTATAATAAGCGAATTAAGTCCTTGCCTTATCAGCCCATCAGTGTGCTGCTGCTTGCTAGCTTTCTCCCACCAAGCATGGAAGGACAACTCAGAGGTGAGGGGACAGAATCAAGACCCGACCTATCTCGATGTAATGAACCAAAATTCTCTTGCGAACACACAAAGGACAAGGAGATGGTCAATAGTCTCTTCTTCTTGGTCACAGAGAGGACAATATTCAGGATGAGGCAACCCATGACGTGCCGTGCAATCAGCCGTCCAACACCTGTTAGCGCGACCAGCCACATAAAGAAGCGACACTTAGGCGGTGCCCAAGATTTCAGATTCTTTCCCATGGTCCAAAGAGAGTAGAACCCAAAAAGAACCCATCATATGCCGACTTAGCCGAGTATTGTCCGTTGGAGGAGAGCCTCCATATGTGTCTATCCTCAACCTCCGGCTGCAGCTGAAAATCCATCAATAAATCCCATAATTGGAGAAATTCCACCAACAGACCTACTGTACGAGCTCCCTGAATGTCCGAAATCCAAGCATGGTTAGTGAGAGCGTCCTGGACAGTGCGCTGTTTAACCCTCCTCTTGGGAATAGCTCCAAAAAGGCGAGGGGCAAGGTCTGCAATGCATTGCCCATGGAGCCACCTATCTGTCCAGAAAATAGTATTTGCACCATCTCCAACTATAGAATTCACAGCTAGAGAGAAGAAGGCTCTCACTTGCTCAGGCACATGTAATGGGAGAGCAGCCCAAGGACGATGAGGTTCTGTTTTCTGCAGCCAAACCCATCTCATGCGCAAGGACCAGCCAAGAGACTTGAGATCTGAAATTCCCAGACCTCCCAGCTCCGGTGGTCGACAAACTTTGACCCAGGCCACCAGACAATGTCCACCTTTTGCATCTTTACGGCCTCTCCAAAGAAAACCGCGCCGGATTTTATCCACCGCTTTGAAAGCCCATGTAGGAAAATCAAAGGCCATAGCCAAGTAAATGAGCATCCCAAAGAAGAACAGATTGTACTAGTACTCTTCTTCCAGCCCTTGTCACTAGATCTGCCTTCCAACTAGGTAGTTGATCCGCAATGCGGTCAATAATGGGCTGCACTTGTTTAGTTAGTTTTCTTAAAGATAGGGGCACACCTAAGTATCTCGCATGGGAATTCCGAAGAGAGGCAGGGCAGCAGGTTTTGTATTGTAGCAATCTCCAATTCAAACACCGATAGGGATCACTTGTATTTTTCTCTGCAGATTAGTCTTGAGCCCGTAAGCTTCACCGAACAGATTAAGAATATCCATGGTTGTAGTGATATCCCTGCACTCGGAGGCGAAGAAAGAGGGCCACATCATCAAGATACATAGAGATGCGGTGTCAGTAAACCACGAGATGACAGGGTAGCAACAAACCCTCACCGGTGGCCTTAGTAATCATATGCCCCAACACATCCATTATCAAGATAAAAAGCATGGGAGAGAGGGGGTCACCTTGCCGCAATCCTCGGCGATGATGAATAAGGTCCCCAGCACCCCATTTAAAAGCACTTGGGTTGAAGACGAGGAGAGCAGCCCATTGATGATATCTCTCCATAATTGCCCGAAACCAAGCTGCTGCAGATACCTCTAGGAGGAAAGGCTACGACCACGTAATCAAAGGCCTTGGAGATATCTAACTTGAGAAGAATCCGAGGCTGCTTTTTTCGATGAAGAAGCCTCGCCGCTTGCTTTGAACCAACATGAAGTTATCTGTATGAATCGCCTTTTATGAAGGCGCTTTGAATCGGAGAGACCATTTGTCTGAGACGACCAAAGAAGGCGATTAGCCATCATTTTTGTGATTAATTTGGCGAAGCTATGAACCGAACTTATGGGTCGAAAATCTTTAGGCTGATCAAGCACCATCTTTTTAGGAGAAAGAGTAATATAGGCTGAGTTGAGGACGCCCAAGTTCACAAACTTCCTGTTCCAAACTGCTGAAACCGCCAACATAATATCTTCCTTTATGATGGGCCAGCAAGCCTTATAGAAGCGACCCGTGAAGCCATCTGGCCCGGGAGCTTTGTCTGAAGGTAAGATTTTAATAGTATTCCACACTTCTTCCTCACTAAAAGGGAGTTCGAGATCAGCAAGGTCATGTGCAACAATTTGTAACTCATTTAAATTGATACTGTACTCCCTGTCAGGACAGCTACCTAGCAAATTTTCATAGAAATCATCAATAGCTGCAGCTTTATCCTCATGACTAGTGCAAATTTGCTCACCAACGACAATTTTTCCAATAAAGTTCTTCCTCTTGCGGTGACGAGCATGAAGATGGAAGAGCTTTGTATTTGCATCTCCATCACGGAGCCAACTAATCCTTGAGCGCAGCCGAGCAATTGTGCGTTGAAGGGAAGCTAGAACTAAGCTGTGCTTTTTTAGACAGTTTTTGAACCACAATTCCCCTGAGGATAATTGACGACTATCTTGGGCGATCTCAAACTGATGGAGAATTTCCCTAGATAAAGCAAGCTGGAAATTCACCTGACCGACCATCTGGTCGCTCCAACTCTGCAAACCTGTGGTGGTAGCCTTGAATTTTCTTGCCAAAGTTATGAAAGGACATGGAGCAGCAGGAACCGAGGTCCAGGATGCAGAGACGGCTTCTTGAAAGCCATCCAGTTTGGGCTAGAAGGACTCAAAATGAAACCCGCGACGACCCTGAGTGTTGTTATCCCTTAGGCCAAGCAAAAGGGGGCAGTGATCCGAATCATCCGAAGCCAAACTCTGTAACAAACAATTAGGAAATCTGTCCTCCCAGTCCACAGTGCATAGAACTCTGTCCAACTTCACTAGAGTAGGGAAAACCTGCTGATTTGACCACGTAAATTTGCGGCCATGCAGCGGAATCTCTTTGAGAGCAATATCATTGATAAACCTTCTGAAACGACCCATCATGGCCTTATTAAAATTAGCATTATTCTTGTCCTCATCCTTATAAATTAGATTGAAATCCCCGGCAATCATCCACGGCCCTGGGCAAGCTGCTCGGATATCACGTAGTTCCTGCAGAAAATGGATTTTATCTTCATTTCCTTGCGGCCCATAGACACAAGTTAACCACCACGCTTGCCCATCCTCAGCAGCAAACTGAACTGTTACGCTGTGATTATCAATCCTCTGGACTCCAGAAACACCGATATGACGTCTCCAGGCAATCAGAATGCCCCCACTAGCACCAGTGGAGGGGACAACAGCATAATAAGAGAAATCAGCCCCAAGAGCTGAGAGAATAATCCTGCGAGAGAAGCTTGCAATTTTTGTTTCCTGAACACACACAATATCCGACCGCGAAGAAACCACAAGAGACCATAGAGAGTCTTGTCTGGATGAAGAATTCAAACCCCTAACATTCCAAATCAGAATTTTCGAAGGATCCATAAATTACAATCATGTCAAACGACCAAGAAAAGACATCAGGAGACTTAAGACAGCAGCACAGCACCCTCTCCGTCATCCAGATTTTCAGGAAGAGACCAATGGAAAAGAGCTGCCAGAGCCTGGAGATGAGCATCTGGCAGGGGCTGCTCAAACAATTTCGCATATTCATCCAGGGCCTGTTGATCTATACCTTCATGCTCCTCAATGAGTTCAAGAGTCCTCATTGCCTTCTTCTTCGATCTCCTTTCTAGGTCGTTGAGTCCAAATTCAGACTTCGCACCAGCAAGGCGGCGGCTGCGTCGGGGGGTGTCACCTATTGGTACGGTCTTGCCTCGCCGCTTATTGATGGCCGGGACAGGGAGAAGGCCTCCTGCGCGCCGAGCAAGTTTGTTGATGAAGGCAGCCCGCGAAGCCGCCGGGACAACTGTAGAGGAGGAGGCCGGAGGCGGAGCAGGGGCCTCCTGAATGACACCCACATCCACCGCCGAAGGGAAGGGCTCGCCAGGCTTGTGGTAGGCAGCTCTGGACTCTTAAGGCTCTCCTGCAAACTTTTGGTGACTCAACTGGTCTGAGAGTCAATTATGCTAAGTCCTTCATGGTACCCATCAATACAAGTCCAGAAAAGCTTCAGCACCCTGCAAGAACTTTCTAATGTAAGATTGGAAGCTTCCCTTTTACTTATTTGGGGCTACCACTCAGTCTAACCAAGCCAAGAATTATTGATTTTCTCCCTTGGTGAATAAATGTGAAAGAAGGCTAGCTGCAACTTCAATTTTTCTGAACCAGGCAGGAAGACTAGAAATCACCAATTCAGTCTTATCAGCCATGCCCACTTTTCTGCATTAGCACTTTCTTGCTGCAACTGATAGATCAAATTGACAAACTCAGGAAACTGTGTCTCTGGAGGGGTGCTGACTTCAATGCCAAACAAAAAACAAAAGCAGCCTGGATTAGTGTCTGCAAGTCTAAAGATCAGGGTGGACTAGGGGTACTGGATATCAAGACTCGGAATGAAGCTTTGCTCATGAAACACTTGCACAAATTCTTCAACAAAAGTAGACATCCCTTGGGTCTCACTGATTTGGGAAAAATACTATAGCAATGGAAATCTATCTGGGGACACCAAAAAAGGATCTTTTTGGTGAAGAGATGTTCTCAAGTTTTTGGACAAGTTCAGAGGTATGGCTAGAGTCCTGATAAAAGATGGTCAGTCCCGCCATTTCTGGGAAGATCTTTGGGGAGACGAAATCTTGTCGCAAAAATTCCCCAAGCTTTACTCTTTTGTAAAGTAGAAGAAAATCATCACTGCCGAAGGATTGGCTACTACACCCATGCATAGTCTATTTCATTTGCCTCATATTTGCAGATGGTTCAGCTTCAAAGCATTTTAGATGGCTTCAGTGTCAGTAACTTACTTGACATTTGGGTTTACATTTGGAATTACAAGCATCTAAGTGGTCAGGTACACATTCATCCAGCTTACAAGTGGCTGTGGGGGTGTTCCTGTCAGCCCAAGCACAAAGTTTTCTTTTGGTTAGTGTTGAAAGACAAAATAAGCACTAGAGAACTTCTAAAGAGGAAAAACATGCTGCTACAGGATTACAATTGTGTTTTATGCAATACAACTGTGGAGGAATCACTATCTCATCTTTTCCTAGGCTGTCCTTTTGCCATTCAATGCTGGGCCCTCATCAATATTCAGGTTGACTCCACTTTGGACCCCTTTGAGAATCTGCAGAACTTCAAAGATCAGCTTCAAGTGCCCTTTTTCATGAAAATCATAATTTTGATGTGTTGGACAATCTGGAAGGCAAAGAATGATTTAATTTTTTGGCAGATCAACCCAAACATTCAGTTGGCAAAGCACAACTTTGTGGATGAATTCCAGTTGTTGCTTCTGCGGTGCTATCACTGCTGTTTTTAAGTCTCTTTTTGGGTTTCGTAATTTAGCTTCCCTGTTCTTTTGTAACATGTTCTGTGCAACTCTCTTTTACTTTTTAATAAATTGCTGTAGGGGTGCAAACCCCTCCCGTTTACATAAAAAATTATCATTATTTAACTATAAAAATAATAATAAATTATTAATTATCTTTGTACCAACATAGATCAGATTTTGTCGAGTTTATGGTTTTGTCAAACGAATTTTTTATTTGAAAACTACAAATTATGTCTACAAAATTATAAAGTACTCTATAATTCTAACATAAAATATATGTAATAACCGTCGTCTGAATTTGAGCAAGTCCCCAACTTTTGAAAGGCATGCAGACTGAACGTTAAAAGCATTGAGACACGTAAATTCAATGTTATTAACTTATTATAAACAATTAAAATGTCTCAACCAAACCCGTAAAAGGCCCACAAACCAAAACACGTGCGGGCCATCAGCAAGGCGGCCCAAAGTGCTTGGGAGCAGCATCGTGTTCCTGCCGCAATTTCTCGCTCGCCTCGGGCCTTAAGTTTTAGATATCACGAGGATATCATATGGGATATTTGATACTAATAAAAAAAATAAATTAAAGAATAGATCAGTAAATCGGATGATGAATTTATTAAACTTAATTAATTTATTATTAGAATATGTGTTACTGTAGTATTTTACTGTTAAATTATGAATTAATTAGATTTAAAAAAATTTGTCTCGTAAATTAGTTATAAACTGTGTAGTTAGTTATTTTTTTTTATATTTAATATTCTTCGACCTTCGATATGACGAGGCGTAAAGTTTTTGGGTGGGGGCTCAGTTCCGCCTCCCTGACTCACCAGGACTGGGGATTCGCTGATCAGATGCGGTGTGCGGGGCCTTGCTCAGAGGCGGGGCTGGGAGGTCCGAGCGGAGTAGACGTCGATGGCATGGCGGTTCCTCCGCACAATCCGTTTCCGACATCTGAGGTAAACGAGCGAGGGCTTTCATCTCACCACCTGCACTGATGTTTCTTTCGGTCTAATTGATTGATTCAATCAATTCCAGCCCGGGTGTCAGGCGAGATTCCAAGATTGGAGGCCGAGGGTTCACCAATAATGCCCCGGAGCTGAGTACCAACAAAGGGAGTTTGTTGAGGGATGGAAGCAGCCGCGTCGTGGAGAAGCGGAATTCAATATTTGCTTGCGCTCCAGAGGATGCTGGCTTCAATTTGGAGCAGAAAACTGAACACACGTTTGAAGACGGTGCCCATTCTGCACTAAAATCGTGCTCTGGTATTGGGAGTCTAGTAATAGCCAAGTGCTCTCATATATTTGAGAGAAATGGGGACACCTTTGATGGGAAGTGCAGCTTGTTAGATGCTCTTCAGCCTGGTTTATGGCTCTCACCGGAGACCCTCCGCCGATTTTGGCGTGTATCTGAGCTGAAGCCTAAGGATTTTCTTGACATTTTGATTGGTTTTGGAACCAGTGCCGCAGAAGTGAGAAATGCAAGATTTCTATGGAATTTGTACAGGTGGGCATCGCAGCAGAGCAAGGAGTTCCAACATCTGCCAAGGTCAAATGAGACGATGGTATCCATACTTGCAGATGCTCATATGCTCAGTCAAGCTGAATCGCTACTGCTCTCATTGGTTGATCGTATGGCTCTGGCTGTTTCAAGTGAACTATTCAGTCAGATTATCAAGGCGTATTCAGAGGCACGCAATCTTGAGAAATCAGTTGCACTTTATGATTTTGCAAGGAGCAAGCATTTGATTCCTTCAGCTTCATGCTATCAAGTACTTCTTCATTTTCTAACCAGAAACAGAAAGGATGAATTGATTTTAAGAGTATATTTGGACATGCTTGAAGTTGGATTCGGTTCATGCACCAAAGGAGATATTCTTGATTCTGTTGTCATGGCTTTAATCAAGAAAGGTAAACTTTTGCAAGCTCTTGGTATTCTTCGGCAATTAAAGAGTTTGGGTCTTAAATTAAGCAAGGGGGCCTTGTCAAATATAGTTGAAGAATTTAACAAGAAAAAGGATATTGGGGATATGATGAATTTCTTGGAAGAGTGGAGGTGTTTACCGGAGTTGCGTCTTTGCAACAGAATCCTTGCGTCTTCGTGCACAAATCTTGGTACTGATCAGGCATGGTTGGTCTTCCAAAGATTGGAGGCCTTAGGGTTTGCTCCAGATGCTACGACTTTTGGAATCTTCATTTTTCATAGCTGTAGAGAAATGAAACTGAAATCTGCACTTGTATATTTATCAGAGTGCTTTGCTAGGCATGTTCAACCTGGAGTGCGTGCTTATAATGCTATTTTAGGTGGTGTTTTCAGGGAGGGACTATATAGACATGCAAAGTATGTCTACGAAGACATGGTTGAAAGAGAAGTAACACCCAATCTTTCAACATATAAGATAATTCTTGCAGGATATTGCAGGTATAGGCAGTTTGATGATATTGAACAAGTCTTGAGGGGTATGAAAACCAATGGTGTAAATGGTCTTCCCTCTGGAAACTGTGTGCTCTCTAAGGCCTTATCATTCTTGGATCTAGATCACCTAGGGGTGAAAATCAAGAGAGATAATGCCACTGGTTTCCCAAAAGCTGAGTTTTTTGATTCAGTTGGCAATGGACTGTATTTGGACACTGATTCCAAAATGTTTGAGATTTCATTGACACAGATTTTGGATAGTGCACTTCACCCAGATATTAACTCAGAGCTAGTCAGGGCATCTCAGCAAGGCGACGTTGCAAGTGGTCTTCTTGTGAAAGATGAAGCTTTTCAATGGGGATATGACATTTCATCAGCTAGCTGCTCTGAGCTATTCAAGGCCTTATGTGTGAGCCCAGCTTATGTAATAGATGCCATTGACCTTATGGAGGAGATGCCAGATATATTTTACAAACTTGATGCTCAAACTTTAGATTTGGTTGCCCAAACATTGAGTAGGAATGGGATGTCTGCTCATGCAAAACTGGTTTTAGAAAATTTTTTGAGAGAAGACTTGTCACTCAGTCACAATACATATACTTATTTAATGATAGGCTTATGCGAAGAAAGGAACATAGCAGGGTTTTGGGAATGTTGGAATCTTGCAAGAAAGTACCGATGGTCACCTGATAGCAAGGATATGATGGACCTCATCAGTTACTTGTGCAAATGGGGAGTGATTGAGGAAGCACTGAAACTTATGAACCCTTTATTTGACTGCTATCATGATCTGTTTTTCAGTGCATATTGTGCACTTCTCAAAGAGTTGTGCAGGACAGGTCATACCAGCATTGGATGTGCAATGTTGGAGGCTCTCAAAGAAAAGGGTGTGGCTGTGGATCAATCATTATTCTTTTATGTGATGGAGGGCTTCCTAAAGGAGCAGAAGACTGCTGAATCAATTGGAATGTATGACATGTGGCTTAGCAAAAACAAAGAACTAGATGCATTTGCTTACCGATCTGTGTTGCCTTCATTACCATGGCTGGATGCAGATCGAGCCAAGAACTTGGTAGAATCTATGCTAACCGTGAAACTTACTGAATTCTCGTATTGCGGTTGCATCGTGAAGGAATTAGTGCAAACAAGGAATATAAAGTGGGTTGTGCCAGTCTTGCAAGAATCAACTCCTGGGAAGCTCAGTGCCACTTTGTTAAATTCTTTACTTCAAGTCTATAATTGGCTAAAAAATTGGCGAAAGTTAGATGCAGTTCTTTGCAAGATGCTAAAGATGCATGGCACCCTTTCTATATCTAGCTACCGCTTTGTTGTGTGCAGAATGTGTGAGCAGAGTCGTTTTTCTAGTGCTTCAAGCCTTAGAGCACTGTTCCAACATGCTGACAAGTCAAGAGAACTAATTGCATGCAACATTCTAATATTTTATCTTTTTCAAAGAAGAAACAGCTCACAGGTTCATGATTTATTGAAGGACATGGAAAGTAATGGTATTTCTCTCGACAAAACCACCTATGACTTCCTTGTCTATGGATTTCACAAATCCGGGCGTACCAATGATTCAGTTAATGCACTTGATGCCTGTATTGCTCAGGGACTAAAACCAAGCAACCGCAGTCTCAGAATAGTGTTAAGTCATTACTGCAGGCTAGGAAACCTTGAGAAAGCACTAGCATTATTTCACCTGATTGAGTGCAATGGATGGAAGCATGGTTTAATCATTAAGACCACCCTCACTTCATGTCTCCTTTCATTAGGGAGACAATCGGAAGCAAAATCATGTCTGAACAACCTGAGCAAAAGTGAGTTTATCGGATGTTCAAGCAATTTTGATGATCTAATCAAGGAATTCTGCATACTAGGAGATTTGAAAATGTCTCTTTATCTGCTAAATACAATGTTAAAGAAAGGAAGACTTCCTAATGAAGCCAGTTACAGTTCTGTTATATATAAACTTTGTATATTGAAAGAGTTTGATCAGGCACTTGATTTTCTTGCTGAAATGCAGTTTGCAAGTCTAAAACCAAGTGAGATCTCCTGTGATGCACTTGTACGTGGCCTTTGTGCCATGGGAAGAACTTCTGATGCTAGGAAGGTTTTGGAAATGCTAACCACCTTGGGATCTGCACCATCCTATGGCATGTATAAAGTTGTTTTTGATAACTATTGCAGAAGTAGCAATCTACAGAAAGCTGCGGTACTTCTGCATGACATGCAACAAGCAGGACAAGTGCCGAACTTTGAGATGCATTGGTCTATTATAAGCAATTTCAGCAGTACCAATGAGAAAACTGAAGGACATGGAGAGCCCATTTTGAAAAACCTTTTTCTTTCTGCAAATCCCCCATAAAGGTCATAAGGCGATATATGGTTTCCAGAAAATGGTGAACTGATGATTGTTGTCAAGTTGAACCCTAGTGGAACTGATAAAACTCAGTGAAACCAAGGTTATGCAACACTGGGACTAGAACTTTCTACTCTAGGATCGATGGTTCACTGAAATGTGGGAATACATAGGAAAAACTATGCATCTTTGATTTAAGTAGCAAAAGAGGGAGCTTGAACTCATTACCTGAGCCATCACAACTTTGTTCCTGCAACTTGGCTACAGGTTGTGCCCCTGCTAAAGGGATCATGCAAAGGTAATAGCATCATCTCTCTTAAGAACGAAAACAGTAATATTGAAAAGTTGGCTTTTCATTACTGGCATTGTGGACTACCGTTTTTGTGTTAAGAGACAACACTGATATTGTCACCCCAGCAATGGTTTTTGCTCCTGCTTTTTGTTCTTCAATATACGTATGCATAGTCAGTTGCAGCTGAGGTTTCTTTCCCTGTGGTGTTGTGGGCAGCAGGTTAGCAGCTGTGAGTGAGAGATAACCATACCACCTCTTCATCACAATTGTGATTTGTGAGGTACTACTTCTCCTTTATAGCAAACTATTGGTGGTATCAAATGCAAGGATGAAATTTTGTTTAACAATTCTGCTAGTGTTAGTACCAGTGCAACTTTTCTGCATTAACATCACCATTACAAGATTATGATCTGTCTATCTGAATCCTGCATTGTATATAGTATATGGTGTGCTTATTTTTTTGGGGTTTATTATGTCGTCTGATGTTGCATTTTTTTTGCTCTAATGTCATGTAAGGCCTTTCTATTTCCTTTTTAGAATTTTTTTCTCCACTAAGTTACAAAATTAGACATGTAACATATAGGGATGTAATGCCTGTTCTGGTCTGTTTGCCGCAATAGGTGAGATTGCCTTGCTGGGTAATCAGGACTCAAAACTTGGGAGTTAGTTTGTGGTGTGGTTACTTCAGACATATGGTGTGCTTGGATGAGGTGGATTGCTTTGAAATAGGCTCTAGTTAAAATTTGAACTGAATCATAAGAATTTGAATCCTAGACCCTCCCTGACTCCCTGTTCTAAGTGGATGTTACAGTAGTAATTGGCATGCTAAACTTTTTATGGTACATACACCGTTGGAGACACAGCTTGTCCAGCGAATACTCAGTGAGCTCGGCACACCAGACCTTCTTCCATGGCTAGTCATCTTGAACCATTGCTGGACTGCTGACAGGCTGGCCAAGTGCAGCATGGATGCTGTAACTGGCAAGTTGCCAACTCTGCAACCAGGCTGAGGAATATACATAAAGCATCTGCTGACCACCTATGTGTTTGCGTAAGAGGTCTAGCAACGCATCGCCTCTTCATCCTGTATGGCCTCTCAGCCCAAGCCTTACATCGGACAGAAAGAGAGTTCGCAGAATGGTATTACAAGGCTGAACTTATCCTTAGCAAGGAAAAGTGCAAAGGGTTCAATTCGCTTGTTATGAACCTTAGTTCATATCAGGGATAGAGAGGATAACCATTGCCGAGAGGAAGGCCGGGCAAAGTCGGCGTGGAGGGAGACTAGAATATTTGGGGGTGACTGGATTGTTTGTTGTTCATTGCTTGATTCAATCTCAACTGGTTACAGGGTATAAATAGAGGAGCTCAGCCCCTAGGCGCCCAGCCTTTGGCTCCTTGTTTCTCTCCCAACATTAACTCTAATCTCTCATTAACTCTAATCTCTTCCCCAGAATTCTAATTGCCATTGATTACAGCCGCATGCTCCTCTACTGCCGTGCTCCTGGCAGCTGCATGCGCCTCTACTGCTGCAGCCATAACTACTAATCCCCGACCATCTATTAATTGCTATTGATCACAGCTGCACGCGCATGACGTCGCTGGTCATTTTGGCTGCCTGGAACATTGAGAAGCACCAGAACGACTGTGTTCAACAACGTCTGGCCATCAGTTCAGCGCCTCTTGCAGGAGGTGATTCGGTGAATGACAGAGTATAGCAGTGGTGCCTTGCAAGCTGTTCTGGTAGGAAGTAGTGGGTAGTTCTAATGCTAAAGGTAGTTCATGATTTTTACAGGCACGAATGTAACTTATCAAAACTTAAAGTCAGCTTCAACAAACTCTTTTTCCTAATCCATTGACATGCAGTTCTTTGTGTTCGAGAAAAAAACTGCATATGGTAACTGATAGCGTCATTTAAAATTCTTTGATATTTAGAAATTCATACCCATTTTATGCTTATTGGCCCTCAAATTTTTAAACATAGGGCCATTATAATCACAATATGGGCCATAATCTTTTGAATACTCAGCTTCCATGCACATACATCAAAACTGGGCAATCTGCAGCATACTGATTTAATCATTGCTGGGTTCGCTGGGGCCATCATCTCTGTCCATTTTCGGTGAAGCATCACTTGCATTTGAGATATCAGTAGGTGGGTCAAAGCTCTTAAGTTCATATTCTTCCAACCCCTTTTCTGCTGCTTGACTCTCAGTCTGAACCCCATGCCTTTTCAGAGCATCTTTGAACTTATGAATCTGAAACAGTATGAACTTCTTAGTTTAAAAATAGTTTAACAGTATGTATACAGATTTGACCATCCAATCTTACAGTTGAAATTGTGCAGCTGAAGCTACAAATACGACCTTCGGTGCCTCTGTAAAAGCGGAACAATGGCAAGACACAGACATGGAGCCTCTTACAGATATCTGTTTGTTCATTATAGTTGACCATAAGAAATTGCAGTCCTGGATGCATCTCGGCAAACTGATGTACCTTTTTGGAAATTTGACAAAAAAAGGTATTATATATTATTTTATGGCAAGACATGTAATTGTTTTTCCTTTTGATAATTGTAAAATTGTTGAATCTACATGCTTGTCTTCTTTTACCTTAGAGTGTAGGGCCTTGCAAGCTCCACAGCTAGGTGAAAAGAAGTGCACCACTGTGAATTTATCTCTGGCCATCAGAAGCTGTTCATCAAAATCGTCCTGTGATTTGATATTTATCATGTTGTCCTTCATGTCTATCTCCCACCACTTTGTTGTCATACGGAGGTGAATGCCCTAATACCATGAGTAAATATCACTGCCATCTTTGTCATGCTTCAGAATGTGTTGTAATGAATGTCTTGAGTTCTATCATTTTATAACGTAACTATTAGATTTCTTTGTTTCAATACAAATTTTACAGTAAGCTTAGATAGTGAAGGCATTTTAAACCAACAATTTTGTAGAATTTACTTCTCGTTTTGATTTACAATTTTCTCTCTCCCTGAATGGACAAATTATTATTTTTGTGGATGCCGTGTTAAGGAGCAAAGAACCGTGTTGTTGTGATGGTACCCGGCCAATGAGACCGTTTGCTGTGTAAACTGGCCAACAACACATACATTCGATGCCCCATAGCAAAATATGACAAAATAAAGAGACAACATGATTTTCTCAAATTTTAGATCATTTATCCTCTACATGGAAATGCATTACTTGATACATTGATTTGGACTGCATAATCTATATTTCCATTATTCTAGCAGGATAGCATTTATTGGCACTTTTCTGTTTTTGTGATTCAATTATCTCCAAGCATTAAAGTCAACATTTTTTTCTAATTTTTAAAGGTAATATAAGGGCATAGGATCATATATAACAATTAGTTCCTTAGCTATAAGGAAATTACCTTCTTGGGATCTTTTGGTACAGCTCGGGCGACAGTCAAAGCAGCCTTTTCTCTGGGCAAGAACTGCTTCCCCTTGATCACATTGTGATTCCAAGTCAATACCTTGAAGCAATCATCAGATCTGTTGCTCGTGTATTCATGACAGGATGAACCGCCAACAACCCAATGGTTTGTCAAAGATGAAGCCATCGACATCATTGAACTAAAACAGAAAGGAACATTTAACAAGTCAGCATCTTCGTGAAAAATACTACAGAAAAGTGCGCATTTAAAAAGCACAACATGCCTCAAACTAACTGGACAGGCTCTACAAGATCTGGAATTGTTTGTGATGGTGAAATGGGGGTGGCCCGTGCTGAGGTATTTATAGCTGAAGAAAATTTTCTTTCAGAAGGAAAGTATGCCTCATCATCCTTTTGTTTTAATGTTTATCATTCTAAAGAGTGGTTCTGTTGCTTGTCGAAATGCACATAGGTACAGTCAGAAGAAGTGTTGTTTCTGTGTGGTCATCTTTGGCTTTGTTAGGGCCTTTGTTTCTTCTGTTACATATCTCCAAGCTTTAGCTTTGGTGCTTCTTACACCCTCTGCCAACTTTTATCTGAGGCGGCACGGCAATGCTCCAGAATGGAGGAAGCTGATGTGTATTTGGATAAAAAGATGACTTTTTTATGAACAATACTAATCTCTTTGGTGTCAATCTTCATGCATTGTGGATATATGACTGGTAGTCATATCTATATCTAAATGTACTCTACTGGAACGTTGGATTTCTTGCTTAAGTATAAATAACTAATTAAGGAGTGTATCGTGGGAGACATAGATTTTTTTTTTTCGAAACCAAATGTTAGAGGTGCCAGTAGTCATAACCCTAGACTATGAACCTTTTTGCAAAGTTTCGCTATCTGATAGTGGCAATTATTTGAATCCCTTGAAATGATGCTTTGCAAGTTAAGTGGTATACTCAGCTATTTAGTAATAATAACCTTAACGAGCAAATAGCTATTGCATAAAGCAAATTTAATTCCTTTTCTTGCTCGAGATAATCATTTATGCAGTTGTATCGCCTGATTTTTGTCACTCCCTTAAGACGACGCAGAACTCCAAAATCCAAATGCATAGATCCTGTGCAAACTTTTGTAATGCTTTGCTGCTACATCAGAAGGCCTATGATCATGCTACATTAGCCATCTCATAGTTCTGTGGTTGAATTCATGCAGGATTGCAGCCACCCAGACCACCTAGAAAACAGTACAGGTTTGCAAATATCACCATCACATTTGAGCTAGTTTAACTGGTTTTCTTGGTAGGGTGTCCAATATTCCATAGATCATTGATTTTACTTCATGGCTGCATAGGTTAAAGTGTGTTTTCCTTGCATGATTATTGTGGCTACATAGATCATGGATTTAATATTGAAAAACAAGGATAGCTGAATGCACATGTATTGATCAGACCTACATGCCCTTTTAGCTGGATATATCTGAAAAAATTCAGCAATGTCTCAAAAACGATTGGAGCCAATGATAGCACAACCAGTGATACTGCCATTTTTCTCTTCATTGACAGAAAAACAGGACGAGGTGTTCAATTTCTTGCCCTGTAGCTGGAAGCTTGATAGACAGATGAAAAAACTTTTAAATACAGAATGCAGTTAGAACAGTCTAGAAGATTGTATTAGATCCTTCGAACTGCCATCTACAACTGCACGGCCTGCCTCCTTGTTGACACCACTGTCGTCCATCAACTTTCTCATATTCTCTGACCCCAGCCATTCTCCAGCTGATGCATAAATGTTCGACAGAAGCACAAAATCCCCACTTGCATCACTCCTTGCCTCTAGAAGTTCCCGATTCGCATGCTCAGCCAGTTCGATCTCACCATGGACCCTACAAGCCCCAAGCAGGGTCCTCCATATGACAGGATTAGGCTCGATCTTCATTGTGCCGATGAATTCAAACGCTTCTTTGAGCAGACCTGCACGACTCAGCATGTCAACCATGCAACCGTAGTGTTTGACATTGGGCTCAATCCTGTATCGTTTTTGCATCAAGTTGAAGTACTCGTGTCCCTTGTCAACCATTCCGCCATGGCTGCATGCAACAAGGACAGCAACAAAGGTAATCTCGTCTGGCTTGACATCCCCCTGCAGCATCTTCTGGAACACATCTATGGACTCTGTGACATGGGCATGCAATGCTAATCCTCCTATGATCGAGTTCCAAGTCGAGACATTCTTATCTTGCATCAACCAGAACACCTCTAGTGCACTCGTCATGCTCCCACACTTTGCATACATGTCGATCAGCGCATTTCCAAGAACAGCGGCAGGCCCAATTCTAGAAAACCTCCCTGACAGAAACCTGTGCAGTCTGCGGCCAGCATCCAGGTCACCAGAATCGGCACAGGCAGACAATAAGCTGAGCATCGTGACAGTATCTGGCTTTTCTCCCATGGTCTGCATCTGCTCAAAGAGCTCCATTGCTTGCTTGTGCGAGCCGCACCTCACGTACCCAGAGATCATGGCGTTCCACGACACAACATCACGATCAGGAGCCCCGGCGAAGAGCTCCCTCGCCGGGGCCATGTCACCCAGCTTCGCATATGCCGTGATCATCACATTCCAAGACACGAGGTCCTTCACAGGACTCTCGTCGAACAGCTCCCGGGCGGCACCAATGTCCCCTCTCCTTGCGAAGCCAGAGATCATCGCCGACCACGCCACGGCGTCCGCGCGCGCTTCGCCGTCGAACAGCGCAGCCGCGGCACCTAGGTCCCCGCAGGTAGCGTGCATGCCGATGAGCGCGTTCCTGACGAAAGCGTCCGACTCGCACCCGGCCTTGACCACGTGCGCGTGGACCTGCGCCCCAGTTTCGCCCGCGCCCATGGCGGCGCAGGCGCGGAGCACGAACGGGAAGGTGCGCTTGTCCGGCCTCACCATCACGCCGCCGCTGCCGGCGCTGTGCCGGGCCATGCGCGCGTAGATGGAGACGGCGTCCCGGGGCGCATCGCTGTGCGCGGCGCCGCGGATGAGGGTGTTGTACATGAACCGGTCGGGGTGCGGGATTCGGTCGAACACGAGGCGGGCGTGCGCGGTGCCGCCCCTGACGCCGACGGAGGAGGCGAAGATGAGCTCGCGGAGCGCCGAGGGGTCCGAGAGGAAGCCCCGGAGAACCATGAGCGCATGGACCTGCTTGATCTGCCGGAGGCTGCGGCATCGCCGCCATAACGCCGGCTGCCGGCGCTGGGTGCCCGACTTGCGCAGCATCGCTGTCGCAAGCGCGGCGCAAATGGTTTCAGTGTCTCCAAAGATCGCTCCGCTCTCACTGCTTGTGGGCTTGTCGTCATCCCGAATGACGGCCCCGCCCTGATGAGTTGCTCCTCCACTCTCTCATTGTCACGCGGCTGCGGCCGCTCGCCTAGTGTTCGACAAAACGCTGGAAGATGATGCAGTCTTCTACGCCGTGTGTTTAGTCCATACCTAAAGGACTGATTTCAGCAGCCATAAGGAAGTCTCAGCGTGGTTTTATGTCCCTGTTTTCAAGATTGTCACGGGTTGAAAACAGTGTATATAAGTTTCATCCCTGTAAAAATATTTTATCACATTAAACTTTTATCATCTCTTTCTTCATTAGTACTATGACATGTTAGTTTATTTCTATGAAATCTCTATTGAGACTGACTTACAAAGAATCGTTGACACTTGGTGGAAATGGTTTATTGCATATTTGCTCACTACCATCATTTTTCTATAGAGAATGAAATGATGGTAGTGTACGAGCTGCAAAGAAGCTTAAAATGCTTTAGTGTTACATATACCTATTTAGTGTTTATTAGCCTAAATTTTTAATACAAAGGGCCGTTATAAGAGTATATGAGTCCAACATTTTAAATTACCTATCTCGTAACATCACATCATAGAATCAAGATTTTAACAATTTTACTGACAGCTGCAAAATTGATGGGGAAGCACTACCATGACGGTAACATCCACGACAAATCGTCATGGAAGACTTAGGTTTCTTGACAAATAGTCCCTAATAGCACATCCTTGACGAAAAAAAACTTTAGGAACGTCATCACTTGCTAAAGTAGCCGGAGCCTAGAGGAGTGGTTAGATGCTCACAATGGAGAGTTGTCGTAACTGCTACTCCATTCCAAATTATAAGGTGTTTTGATTTTTCTGGATATATAATTTTTGCTATGTACTTAAATACACATTATGTCTAGATCCATAGTAAAAGTAATGTTTCTAAAAAAACAAAAATACTTTATAATTTGAGATGGAGGGAGTACCGTAAAGCATCTCGCCTCAGAAGGAAGCTTTTTTCCGACACCTGGTAGTAATGGTCTTCGCAAGGTATGCTAGTTTTGCAGGACTATGGTGTTTAAAGGATTTTAGCGATGCAAGACAACAAGAGTATAGGTTTCAGAAAATTATTCTACTCCATGTAGGCATAGGTTGTGTGGGACTACTACTACTTTTCCACCGCAAGCACGTACTTTCAACTCTATGACACTGGAAGCATTTTTTTTTTCCTCACTCTCTTGTGGGCGATTGTCTCTCCCCCGAGGCCATAGCAGGCTCTGCATGTCACAGACACCTGTGGAGCATCAAACTTTTGCACATGCCAGCATTCGAGCCTAGTTGGCCAGACAAAGCCACTAGCGAAGCCACCGTGTTGGCGCTGGCCTAAGTGGTACTGGTTTGTAGAGGAGAATAATCAACGATGGTGAATTGATGATACAAACAGACTGTACCATGATTTGGGCAAGCATCCGGCCAAGAAAGAAAATTTCTTAGTAGGTGTATTCTTAATTATATGATGAACTTGTATGCATAACTTGGCATCTACCCACCATGCACTTACCATGCTGGTTCCACACTTCCACTAAGAATGAGGTACAAAATACTACTGGTGGTCGTTCTCATGCATGATCCGACGCAATTTTAAGACCAAACCACCAATGAAACCCATCATTTCCCCTTACATGCATGAAAATATGTAACATGAACATTATTTGGCGTGGATTAAGCGAGTCATGACATCAAACGGCCCTGGAGACGCGGACCTTGAGGCCGTGCGCCATGGAGAGGATGGTCATCATGCGGTACTGGACCGGGTGGCCCTCCAGCAGCTGGAAGCTGTAGAAGCGGAAGAGGATGGCCAGCGCCATCTTCATCTGCAGGTACGCCGAGTCCTTGCCCAGGCAGATCCTGGGCCCCGCCTGGAACGCCGTGAACTTGAACGGCGACGCGTTGCGGAACGCCCCCTCCTCGTTGATCCACCGCTCCGGCCGGAAGCTCGCCGCGTCGGGGCCCCAGTTGTACTCCATCCGCCCCATCGAGTAGGGCACGTACGTCACCATCCCGCCGGCCCTCACCTTCGTCCCGTCCGGCAGCACGTCGTCCTCCAGGATCCCCTTGGGGTCCTGCGTGCAAAGTGCATTGCAGGTTCACAAACTCACCCAGCAGCCACATCTGCGCAGACCGGAGCCCGGATCGGAGGTCGTGCGTGCGCGCTCACCTGAGGCACGGCGGGGTACAGGCGGGCGCGTCTCGGTGACGCAGGCGTGGAGGTAGACCAGCTTGCCGAGGCTGTCGTAGGTGAGGAGCCCCGCGAACTGCGCTACGCGGGCGGCGAACGCCTTGTCGTCGGCGTCAGGGACGCCGCAGGGCACGAGCGAGACGCCCTCCTCGCGCGCGCGCTCCGCCTCGAACGCGCACAGCTCGCGCCGCAGCTTCTTGGCCACGTCCGGGTGGGACATGGCCATGTGCGTGAACCACGACAGCGTCGTCGCCGTCGTGTCCCGCCCGGCGATCACGAAGTTGAGTACCACGTCCCGGAGGCTCTTGTCGTCCCCGAAGCCGCCGCCGCCGGTACCGTCGTCGCCGGCCTCGCCCAGCTCGATGAACCGTGACAGGATGTCGTGCTTCATCTGCCCATTTAATTTGCCCTCACAAGTCACACATATATAATCAATCAGGATCAGGTCCATCCCAACCAAGATGATGAATTGAAGAACGAAACAAGCTAACCTTCTCCTGTTTGCCGCTGGCCCGGGCCTCGACGATCTCGTCCTTCCTCCGGCGGATCACACTGTAGGTGAACTCGTCCACGAGCTTGATGCTCTGCGCTAGGAGGGCCTCTGACCCGACGTGGAAGAACCTCTTGACGCGCCACAGCGGGTCGATGAACCGCAGCGTGACGATGATGTTGGCGGCATCGAACGCCTGCGCGAAGCTGTTCTCGGGGAGTTCCGGCGACAGCGTGCCGATCTCGACCCCGAACCCAACCTTGCAGATCGAGTCCAGTGTCATCCTCATGTAAAGCTCCTGAATCGCAAAGTAGTTCTCGTGTTAATTAGGACGTTTGTTAGCCCCCCTCAGATTCACTCATTCACAGTGAGTGAGAGTGCCCAAGAAATGCTCATGCTGGCATTGGCAAGGGAGCAGTGAGTTCACCTGCATGTCCACAATTTTGCCTGCCTTGGATGCCTGGCTCAGTATGCCTGACAGCTTCAGGGAGTACTCTCTGAACACAATGGCGCTGAAATCCCTCAGGTTCTTGGAGGCGAACTCGAAACTCGCCGTCTTCCTTTGCTTCCTCCACAGCTCGCCGTCGGCGTTGAATATGCCGTCACCGAGGAGCACGTCCATGTAGGATCTGTACACGTCCCCCTGCACAGTGTTCAGGCATTGGAATCAGCTTTCAGTACTGATTTCCTGAACCTTTAGCACAGCATCACGGAAGACTGAACATCGGTGAGTTCATCTCATTTACCTTGGGGTAATTGGTGAAGTTAGTCTTGAGGACATGCTCAACATTCACTGGGTCAGCGATGTAGGTGTAGGACGTGAACGGCATGTCGACGGTCACTGTCTTGTGCCGCGACAGGTACCCGACAAGCCAGTCGTGCATCCGGTGGTAGTTCCTCAGCTGCTCCACCGTTGCGCCAATGACCGGCCATGACCTCGGACCTTTCTGCTTCCTCAGGCTCCACCTGTGGACCAGGACACACGAGAGGACAACGAGGAGGATCGCGGTGTACTTGTGGAGCCCTGCTAGTGGGAAGAATGGCGTCGCCGGCGTGAGGTGAGCTTCCTCCATGGTACTCTTGATGAAGGGTCCAGTCTACAAGTGATGGATGCTATGTATGTATGTAGTGTTGTGTGGGTTTGTTAGCTGATATATTGGGTATTGCTGTTACCAACCTTGAGAGAGACAATCTTGGTGTGACCGGAAATTAAGATTTCTTTCATTCATATGGTGTCCCTGACCTAACTCTCGGACAAGTTGGGGCTTAGCCTTTGTGTTCCTTTTTGTGATCTGCCAACCAAGAAAATGAGTCACTCTTATACTGTATTTGCAGGTTATTCATTTTTATTACAATTAGGAGTCGCCAGATTATGTTATCATACTTCGGATCCAGTATTGTGATCCATCAGCTTGGTACTGAAAGTCTGAAACTGAACCTACCAGAAATTGTCCACAATTCCTTAAAAATTTAGGCACAATGATACATTCGTTGTTCCTACATGACAGTTCAAGTGAAAAGTACATCCTGAATAAGAATTTGTGAACCCATTGTGAGTTATTTTCTTGCAAGAGAATGACTGATGAAATATAGCCATGCAGTTGCCAATCTACAAAAAAAAGGATGGATATGAAATTTAACGAACCTAACTTCAAAAATTACATGGATCAAATTGATAAAATTCTTGTGAACACTGAAAGAATAATCTGAAACCAAAATCAAGAGAGCATGAAAATACAGCTCTCATGGATGATCTTTGATTCGGATCACCTACTTATTATAAATGTCAAGCAAACAAGAATATTTGCTGCATAAGTACTAATCATTCATTAACATGAACCTGTTGGAAGCTGCTCAACCAAGGAATAAATTAGGAGTGACAGTATCAGAATCTAAATGTTAATTTTGTTGGTGGCATCCAGTGTAAGTCTGAAGAGATCTCTCATTGCGTGTCTCTTCACCAACTTGCCATAGGTTGCCCATTTCCTCATCAGCTTATCAGAATCATACAAGGCGGAGTATGTGCTCCAGAATGACGCACGCAAGAACGCCTTTTGCCTCTCCTTCACCATAGACTTCCTCGTCTTCTCCTCCAGCCACACCACCACTGCTCCTATGTCTCCTCCACTGGCCAAATCGTTCTCTGACTTAAGGATTTCCTGCCTAAGAATGGAATCCTCGGCTTCAAACCTGCACCGATCACACTTGCATTCGAATCCCCAAGCTCTGGATGCCTCCCTGCGCTTGCTCACTGGCACAAGCACATCAAAGTATGGAAATGTGATCTCCTCCCCGGCTTTGATGTCCCTGGACGCGTGGACAATGGCATGGTCCCCGATGTGAGTGCGCCGGGCATTGGGGTGGCAGGAATGGTTGATGAACGACGGCAAGACCCAGAGTCCCACGCCGCAGTTGACGACACCATTGTTACCAAGCACATCGGCGGCTGGCGCGTCCTCAGTCAAGCAGTTCACGTCGAGCACCTTCAAGATCCTGTCCACATGAACAGCCTCCTGTGTCCCCATCGCCCTCGCCGCGCTGGTACCATCACTGAGACTGTCACCCTCAGTTTCATTCTTGAAAATTGCCATGTCCGGGACGACAAACTCATCTTGCCGCTCCTCGCCGGTAGACAGAGTATAGATCAAAGCCGCCGACTTCGGACATTTCTCGGCAGCTTCGAGCACCTTGTCGACAAAGTCCTTCCATACGAACATCTTCTCGTCGCTGTCGGCGGCATCAGGAATCACCCCTCTCCCGATCGCCACCGCCTTGGCGATTACCAAAGTAGCCCCCCAACTCGACGTTCTTCACAGCGAAAACCCCTCGGCAGCCGTGTGGGGACCGGAGCACCTCCACGGACCCGACGTACTCCGCTAGATCCGGGAACTTCCCGGCGAACCCCGCGAGCACCCACTCGGACAGGTCCACCGCCCCGCTCCTCGCCTGCGCCTCGAGGCGCCTGCACTGCTCGGCGAGCTCCCGCGCCTCGTCCGCGGCGGCGTACCGGCCGAGGCCGCTTAGGAGCGCGCCCTTGGAGAGCAGCGCGCCGGGGTGCGCCGGCTCGGCCGCAAGCGCGGCGTCGCAGTCGGCAAGCCAGCAGGCGGCATCTCCAAGCCGCGCGCGGGCGTCGGCGCGGTGCGCGAGCGTGGAGCAGAGCACGCGGCGGTCGTGGCCGGAGGAGGCGGCGTCGATGATGCGGGAGCAGACGGCGACGTACTCCCTCCAGTCCTCCTTGAACAGCAGCCGCGTCGCGCGGCTCCGCAGATGCTGCAGCGTGTCGTTGTCGAGGCCGCCGTCCTGTTCGCTGGCTAGTAAATGATCGTAAATTTCCAGCTAGTAACAGTATTTTTCTCTTACGCCAAACCAGTCAGCAGTAAAATAATCCACGATACGATACGACCTCCCAAAACATGCTGCTGGATTCCGGCCATATCTCCGGTGCCGGGGGTTGCGGGGTGGGGGCGTCGTGACTCGTGAGATTAATGCGTTTTGTTTGGGCTGGTTAGTTGGTGGGTGGAGCTGGGAGTGGCGCACTCTGCGTGGGCGGCTGGGCTGGGCGCGGCGAATGTCCGAATTCTGCTTGGGAAAATTTGAATGCGATGGACTGACTGGGCTACTGGAGCTGGAGTAACGGCTTATCAGTTGTCGTCAGCTCAGTAAGTTTAAATTCAGTGTGTAAAATTTTTTAGGTGTCCGGGTGTTATATGGGTGTCGTGTGGGGTATTTGGATACTAATAAAAAAATAAATTACATAATCCGTAAATTATAGCACCATATTGTCAAATTATAAACTAAGACCCTGTTGTGAGAGAAAAATACTGTTATTTAGCTAAAATAGTACGGCTGATAAGTTTAAGTGAACAGAGTCGAAGATTCGAAGAAAGGTGGGTAGTTGCATTGGGCACATGTAGTGATAGTGATTAGCATATAGTGACACCTTTCGTTTTCATTTGCGTTCATTGCTGGGAAAAGTCAAGCGGACTTCAAAGATCATTCTGAGATTAAAGCTCTTATTGTCAAAACTCAAATGATCTTCGATAGGAAAAATGATCATCGAAGAATACGTGCCATTTTTTTCTCTCTCCAGCGGTTCCTTGGTTCCTAATCCTCAGTCAGTCAGTCAGCCGCTCTCGGATAGGTGGAAATGTGATTAAGGTGGTATTTGGTTACCCCTCCTTTAGTCGCTGTCTCATCGAATATTTAGACACATGTATGAAGTATTAAATATAGATTAATTACGAAACTAATTGTATAATTTACGACTAATTTGCCTTTTAGTCTAATTAAACCGTGATTTGACAATGTGGTGCTACAGTAATATATGTGCTAATGATAGATTAATTAGGCTTAAAAATTCATCTCGTAAAGTACTGACGGATTATACAATTTATTTTTTTTATTAGTATCCGAACACCCCATACAACATCCTTCCAATACACTTCCTAAATTTTAGTCACCGGATCTAAACACCTCTATCACTGTGACGGAAGAATGATGGATCCATGTATGGTCCAAGTCCCTCGCAGCAATTCTTCGGTATTTCAGCATGTCGTCGTGTGGTATGCCGTAAGCGCATGGTAGTCCAGTAGTCCAGGAGTCCTGGCTCCTGGGGCAAGGAAGGAACCGGGCACCCGCGAGGCCGCGACCCCTTTGATCGCCATGGCCACGTCGCCGTCACGACGACTGACCACTGACGCCAAGATAAGACAGCACCACCGCCTTTCTCGCCCCTGTATGAAGTTTCCACCTGTCCGTCATTGGCCTCCGCCGAGGCAGCGATGGCGGCAACACCGGCCTGGGACAGGGAGGAATCCCTCATTTTCTTCCAGCAGCTGCTCTTCCTCCACGGCGTGAGCGCCGCGTCCCACCTTATCCTTGCACTCGCCGTCGCGGGGCGCTTGCTCTTTCGACTGTTTTGCTCCGACAGAAGTTAGTCTTTATCTTGTACATAATTAAATTTGGATCACAACTCAACATCGACGCCTTTCCGCCTGCCGGACCAAGGAGCGGAGGAGATGCTAGCCGCGGCGTGGGCCGGTTCCGGTACTGCTACGGGGTCTCTGTCTGCACCACGTGGGCTCTGGCGGTGTTCGAGGTCCTCCTCGCCGCCTACTCCTGGTACGCGAACGGCGGCGCCGGGTGGTCGCGCGGCGCGGTCGCCGAATGGGTGGACGCGGCCGCGCGCACGGTGTCGTGGCTGCTGCTCGCCGCGTACCTGCAGTTCGATTTCGGGCGGCGTCAGCGGCGCCAGGAGCGGTTCCCCGCGCCGCTCAGGCTTTGGTGGGCGCTCTTCATGCTGCTCTCCGTCGTCGCCGTCGGCGTTCACGCGGCGACGAGTCTGGACGGGTTCCTCGTGCCCGCTCGGTCGTGGGCGCTCGACGCAGTCTCTGTTACTGCAGCAGTGGTTCTACTCTCAGCTGGGTACTTCCTCGGAAGGAAGGAGGGAGAAGGACGCGGCCATGCTTCCGAGAAGCAGGAGCCTCTGCTTAACGGCTCACACGAGGCGGCCGATGACGACGACGAGAACAGCAGCAGCGCCTCCGACGCATCCTTGTTCACTGGCGCCGTATTTCTTAGCGTGCTCACCTTCTCTTGGATGGGGCCCCTGCTCGGCGTGGGCCACAGGAAGACCCTCGTCCTGGAGGATGTCCCGGGCCTCGAACCAGGCGACAGCGTTGCTGGCATCCTCCCGCCCTTCAAGGCCAACCTTGAGGCGCTCACCCGCGACGTCAGGTCGAGCCGGAAGGTCGTCACTGCGTTCAAGCTCACCAAGGCCCTGTTGCGCACCCTATGGTGGCACGTCGCGGTGACCGCGTTCTACACGCTGGTCTACTGCGTCGCCGCCTACGTCGGGCCGTACCTCATAGACTCCCTGGTGCAGTACCTGTACCTCAGCAACGACGAGAGGTACGCGGGCAAGGGGCAGCTTCTCGTGCTCGCCTTCGTCGTGGCCAAGGTGCTCGAGTGCCTGTCGCAGCGGCACTTGTTCTTCCGGCTGCAGCAGGCCGGGATACGCGCGCGGTCGGCGCTCGTCGCCGTCGTGTACCAGAAGAGCCTCGCGCTCTCCAGCCAGTCGAGGCGGAGCCGCACGAGCGGAGAGATGATCAACATCGTCAGCGTCGACGCCGACCGCGTCGGCATCTTCTCATGGTACCTGCACGAGGTCTGGCAAGTACCGCTGCAAACAGGCATGGCGATGTTCATCCTCTACTCCACCCTTGGGTTCGCCTCGCTCGGTGCCACCGTGGCCATCAGCCTCGCCACCGTGCCCCTGGGAAGGAGAAGCTGATGGACAGCAAGGATCTTTTTGTTCGATGATCCTTTCAGTGCAGTCGATGCGCATACCGGATCCCACCTTTTTAAGGTACATGATTTATTGATTTGTTCAAATGATTATGCTTCATCGCTTATGTTTGTTCAAAGAAGTTTTTGATGACATAACATATTGCTAGGTCCTTACGATTTTTGTTTTGAAGGAATGCTTGCTTGTGGATTTGGCTTCAAAAACAGTGGTTTATGTCACTCATCAGATTGAATTCCTACCTGCCGCCGATCTCATTCTTGTGAGAATTTCTTGGTAAAGTTTTAATGTATGCTTGTTACCATAAAAACTTATGACTCTTCTTATAAACAAAGCTTGTGATGTAGGTCATGAAAGATGGGAGAATAGCACAGGCAGGAAAATATGACGAAATACTAGGTTCAGGTGAAGAGCTCATGGAGCTAGTTGGTGCCCACAAGGAGTCCCTAACAACACTAGATGTGATCGACGCCATGAATAATGGAGGCAATGTATCCTCCTCCTCCTCTCCCAGTGGCAGAGAGAAGCCTAATCTGTCCAGATCACTGTCATTAGCTGAGAAGAAACATGAAGCCAACGATGATGAAGGGAATGATGCTCGGAGTGGGCAGTTGGTGCAGGAGGAAGAAAGGGAGAAAGGCAGGGTGGGGTTCTGGGTGTACTGGAAGTACCTCACGCTAGCTTACAAGGGTGCTCTAGTACCGTTGGTGTTGCTAGAACAGATGCTTTTTCAAGTAATTCAGATTGCGAGCAATTACTGGATGGCTTGGGCTGCTCCGGTGTCAAAGGATGTTGAGCCTCCGGTGAGCATGCCGACGCTGCTCAGTGCATCCTCGTAAGATCACTGCTTCTTGCAACAGCTGGGTACAAGACAGCGACTTTGTTGTTCAACAAGATGCATTTGTCCATATTCAGAGCTTCTATGTCTTTCTTCGATTCCACTCCGAGCGGGCGCATCTTGAATAGGGCAAGTCATCTTGATTCGGATCAAATGTTGTTAGTTCAATTCATTTGCTTGTACTATGCTAATTCATGTATTAAATTTTTTTTGCAGGCTTCAACCGATCAAAGTGAAGTGGACACCAACATTGCTGACCAGATGGGCACTGTTGCATTTTCCATAATTCAGCTTGTCGGGATTATTGTGGTGATGTCTCAGGTTGCATGGCAGGTCTTTGTTGTTTTCATCCCTGTATTTGCTGCCTGTGTCTGGTATCAGGTAATACTTTTTTACCGATCTTATTGTCAAGGGCGCTATGATCTAGGGAAGCTGGCCCTCGACTGCGCAACTCGTAGTCTCGGTCCGTCGTCTTCTCCGGCGAGGTAACCCTGCCGCAGGCTTGGTCTTCTCCGGCTGGTTGCCCAGGCCGTAGGCTTAAGAGGATGACGAGGAAGATAGATTGATAATTCTTTCTTGACCCAAGCGTTCACCGATTACAGCAATATATATGCGGCCATTGGCCCAACTAACAGGAGTAACAAATCTCCTTTGATTTAGGAACTAATAATAGAAAGCTATCTCTAAAACATCCTCAGCCACTAGCCACGTCCGTGTCTTCAGCTTAAATCATTGCGCGCGCCTTGCCGCCAGCCGTCGTCGCTTGATGTCCCGTCTTGGCGGCGACGCTGGCGTAAGCGATGTCCAACCATGACATCTCCCCCCTCGAGTAGCGGCTCGTCCGCGAGCTGGAATCCTGGATACTTCATGAACTCGCAACATCTTCCCACGTAGCATTGGCGGTATCGCGCCCTTCCGATGAATGAGTACCGATGCACGCCACGAGCGAGACGCGCCGCGCGCACCGCGTTCGAGGCTCGGAGCGACCGCTCCATGCGGCGGCGGTGGAAGAGGCGGGTCGCGCGTCTGGCGGAGGACCATGGAACTTCTTCAACAGCCCGACGTGGAACACATCATGGATGCGGCGGCGTGGCGGCGGCGGCAAGGCGGACGGCGGCGTCGTTGATCGATTCGATGATGCGGTAGGGCCCAAGAAACGTGGCCTGAGCTTGCCGGTGACCTCCTGGGGAAGTGACGATGCCGTGCGCTGGCGAAGGCGAAGGAGGACCCAGTCGCCGACGTTGTAGACCACATGTCGATGTGCCTTGTCGTAGTGAAGTTTCTGCGTGGCTTGAGCTTGTTCCAGGCGGTAGCGAACATCAGCCAAGAACTGATCGCGTTCCTCCATGGACTTGGCAACGGCAGGCACCCGGGACTCGCCTGGCTCGTAGGACCTGATGCTTGGCGGGTCGCGCCCATAGACGACGCGGAACGGCGTGTCCTTTAACGAGGACTGATACGCCGTGTTGAATGTATATTCCGCCCAAGGGAGCCAGCGGAGCCACTGTCGGGGGCGATCACCTGTAAAGCACCGCAAATACATTATGATGACGCGGTTAGCCGCCTCGGACTGGCCGTCGGACTGGGGGTGGAAGGCCGTCGTCATGTGCGATTTAAGCCCACCAAGCGCGCGAGCTCGCGCCAAAACGTCGAGGTGAAAGACGGGTCGCGGATCGGACACCAAAGATCTGCGGCACGCCGTGTAGACGCGCGATGATGTCGGCGAAGAAGGCTTGAGCGGCAGATTCGGCGAGTCTGGGTGTGCGCCAAATGGAATGAAGTGGGCGTGCTTGCTGAACACGTCCACCACCGTAAGGATGACGGTCTTACCACGCGCACCAGCGGCGGGCTCTCGACAAAAGTCGGCGCGCCACGTCCGTCGAACCCCCCGCGCACGGGCAATGGCAAGCGAGCGGTACACCGGTGGAGATGTTCCGATTTATAACGCTGATGAGGCGTCGCGGCGCGCACCATGTCCTGCACTAACTTTTTCATGTTAGGAAAATGGAAATCTCGGCGCAGGCGATGAAGCGTGCGCTGTACGCCTTCATGCCCGTCCTGGTGCACCGCCTCCATGATTTCCTGGACCATCGGCGACGTCGGCGGGAGGTGCAATGGCGACAAAGCTGGACCGAGCCGTCGACGATCGTCCGGCGCGCCCACGAGCCACCCGCAATCTCCTCCAGCAGGCGACCGAAGCCGGGTCGTTGTTCAGTAGTTGACGCAGCCGCGCGCGAAGTCGAAAGCGGCGCGGCAGACGCGAAAGCAACGGCGTGCCCTCCTCTGGCGTGTCGCGGCGGGACAGCGCGTCCGCCACGGCGTTGGCGGCCCCGGGCTTGTACTCCACCGTGAAGTCGAAGCCCAATAGCTTGCCCACCCAATGATGCTTTGTGGGATGGTCGCGAGTCGTTGATCGGCGGTACTTGAGGTCTGTAGTGGTCGGTCTTGACGCGGCGACGCTTCCGCCCCCAAATACGGCCGCCAGGCCGCCTTGCATGAACGAGCCCAATGAGCTCGCGCTCAGTGCGCCCGCCGCGCGCGATGCCGTCGCAACCACACTGCTTTGAAAAAAAGCCACGGGATGCCCGTCTTGCACGAGGACAGCACCAAAACCGTGGGAGGAGGCATCACACTCGACGATGAACGGCTTGGTGAAGTCCGGCATTGCGAGGATGGGCGCCGAGGTCACCGCAGCCTTGAGGGCAGCGAACGCCATGGCGGCCGCCGAGGCTCCATGCGAAACCCTCGCCGTGGTGGCGCCGTGAGTGGTGCTTGCCACCTCGCCATAGTTGCGACGAACTTCACGTAATATCCGGCCAGTAGAGGAACCCCGGACCGCGCCGGCCGAAGGCGGGTACCGGCCGATCGTGGATGGCTTTGAACCTTGGCGCATCCATGGCAACGCCGTCTTCCGAGATGGTGTGGCGAGGTAGAGATCGCCGTCACCCCGAACGCACACTTGGGCGCTTGATGAAGAGGTGGTGTTGGCCGCGGCTTCGGTGAGGACGACACGGAGGTGTCGTGAGATGATCCGCCCATGAATGACTATAAATCAAGATGTCGTCAAAGAAAACAAGTACAAAGCGATGGAGGAACGGGCGGAGTACATCATTCATCAAGGACTGGAATGTCGCCGGCGCATTGCACAAGCCGAACGGCATCACCAGGAACTCGTAGAGGCCATCGTGGGTGCGGAATGCCGTCTTGTGGACGTCGGCCGGGTGCATGCGCACCTGGTGGTACCCCGAGCGCAGATCGAGCTTGGTGAAGAACTTGGCGCCGTGGAGTTCATCGAGGAGCTCATCGACGACGGGTATCGGGTAGGCATCCTTGACGGTGAGGGCGTTCAGCGCGCGATAGTCGACGCAGAAGCGCCACGAGCCGTCCGGCTTCTTGACGAGAAGCACCGGTGAGGAGAACGCCGACTCGCTGCGACGCACGGTGCCCTGCTCAATCATGGCGGCGCATTGTCGTTCGAGCTCATCCTTGTGCGCCGTCGGGTACCTGTAGGGACGCACAGCCACCGGAGCCGCACCCGGTTTGAGGACGATGCGGTGGGCGCGGCCTCGCGGTGGCGGAAGTCCCTTGGGCTCCTCGAACACGTCGGTGAATGAGTGGAGCAGACCGTCGAGGAGGGGCTCGCTCGCGGTCGTCGTCTGCAGCGTGGGCGCAGCGGGCGACGCCTCGCTGGACCAGCGGACCGCCCGGCCGTTCTGGGTGAACGTCACGACCCGCTCGGTCACATCCCAGGCGATTGGGCTCCCGAGTTGCGCCATCCACTGTGTACCAAGGACGATGTCGTATCCAGCGAGGGGCATGACGTACAAGTCGACGTGGAACGCCATGCCCTCGATGGAGAGCGGTGCTCGACGAATGACGCCCGGGCAGGAGATCTTCTCGCCGTTGGCCACCGTCGCGGTCAGTCGTGGACGTGGTTGCACGTCGAGGCCCGTGCGCTGCGCCGCCGCCTCCCCGATGAAATTGTGGGAGGAGCCGGTGTCCACCAGGGCCACGAACGTCGCGGCGCCCAGCACGACCCGCAGCAGAATCGATCTGCCCACGGGTACGCCCACCACAGCATGGAGAGAGAATATCGGGGCCTCGATCTCCGGTTCTTCGTCTGCGTTCTCGCCCTCGTCGTCGACACTGTCCAACAAGAACAGGCGTTTGCATACCTTATTGTGACCCCGGGAGTACTTCTCGTCACAGTTGAAGCACAAGCCGAGGCGTCGACGTTCCTCCTGCTCAGATTGGTTGAGCCGACGTATCGGGCGACCTTCGATGGTCGGAGCAGCCGTAGCAGCTTTGTTCGCTGCGGCCTGGGGTTGGGCCGCTCGCGTCCCTGTTGCTGGCAATACCGCCCGCACGGCCGGGTTGGCCGGGAACAGGTAGGGCTCCATCAGCTCGAATTGGCGGGCTAGACTCATGGCGGTTGCCAGATCAGGCGGGTGCTGCTGCTGCACCTGGAGGCTGAGTGGTGGCAGCAGTCCTCCCGTGAAGAGTTGCACCCGCTGGGCCTCATCAAGCCGTCCAGCGCGCGGGAGCAGGGCCTGGAAGCGGTCCTGGTAGTCCTCCACGGTCCCCGTGCGGCGGCATGACGAGAGCTCGAAGAGGGGTGCGGAACGAAGCGGTGGCCCGAAGCGCAAGTTCAGGAGTTCCTTGAAGCGGTCCCAGGTCGGCGTGCCCTCGGTTTCTTGGACGTGGACGTACCAGAGAGACGCGCCGTCTTGGAGGTTGTAGGAGGCCATCCAAGTGCGTTCTGCCGGCATGACCCGCTGTTGAATGAAGAAAGACTCGCACTTGTTGATGAAGGTCAGCGGATCCGACTTGCCGTCGTAGCGCGGGAACTCCGGCCGCCAGTGCTTGGGCGGGCGATCTTGATGGTGCTCGCCGGATGGCTCCTTGCTTGAAGACGAGGACGACCGGACCCCGGCCAGGGCCGCGATCGCCTGCGTGTTGGCCTCGAGCGCTTTCGTGGTGGCCTCGGAGGAGGCTTGAAGCGCGGCGAGGGTCTTGGCGAGGGCGTCCAGTGTCGGTTGGAGGTTGTTGTCACCCATGGGAACGGCACGCGATGACGCGGTGGAGGGCGATGATGGTGCGGCGGCGGGGGCTGGTGGCGGGCTAGGGTTTGTGGGTGTCGGTGCAGCGGCGTTGGAGGAAACAGAGGATCGAATGGATCGTGATACCAGGTTGTCAAGGGCGCTATGATCTAGGGAAGCTGGCCCTCGACTGCGCAACTCGTAGTCTCGGTCCGTCGTCTTCTCCGGCGAGGTAACCCTGCCGCAGGCTTGGTCTTCTCCGGCTGGTTGCCCAGGCCGTAGGCTTAAGAGGATGACGAGGAAGATAGATTGATAATTCTTTCTTGACCCAAGCGTTCACCGATTACAGCAATATATATGCGGCCATTGGCCCAACTAACAGGAGTAACAAATCTCCTTTGATTTAGGAACTAATAATAGAAAGCTATCTCTAAAAACATCCTCAGCCACTAGCCACGTCCGTGTCTTCAGCTTCGTCTGTTGCGCGCGCCGCGCGCTCAGCGTCGCGCCTGATGTCCCGTGCGCGGCGACGCCTGGCGTAGCGATGTCCAACCATGACACTTATCGTCCTCCATGTTAAATAACTGCAGGATCACCCACATCTCATCTTACTTAACTTGTTGCAGCGATACTACATTGACACAGCTAGGGAGCTGCAAAGGCTAGTAGGAGTTTGTTATGCTCCTATCATACAACATTTTGCTGAATCAATAGCAGGGTCAAGTACCATTAGAAGCTTCGGCAAGGGAAATCAATTTGTGTCAACTAACAGCCGTCTAACAGATGCCTACTCTCGGCCCAAATTCTACAACGCTGGAGCAAGGGAGTGGCTTTGCTTTCGTCTGGATGTGCTGTCATCTCTTGTATTTGCCTTTTCTTTGATCTTTTTGATCAATCTACCGACCGGTCTCATCGATCCAGGTATATATCATGTTAATTTTGAACAATGTTTCTAGTTCTACTGGTACTGGATGGATGGCAGTAAACTGGATAGGATTTGATGTGGGTTCTTAAGCAACATTACGAGAAACTTTCAGGTATTGCTGGTCTTGCTATCACATACGGGCTTAGTCTGAACACGTTGCAAGCACAGGTTGTCTGGAGTATGTGCACTTTGGAGAACAAGATTATATCAGTGGAGAGAATTCTACAGTACATAAGCATTCCTACAGAACCCCCGCTTGTCATGTCAGAAAATAAGTTGGCTCATAACTGGCCAACAAATAGAGAAATTCAGCTCCATAATCTCCATGTAAATCCCTCGTCCTTTTGCCGTTGTGTTCTATCCCTTTTTTTAATCTGTGCTAGAATAGTGTTCTAAGAAATTATTGTGATGGAAAGCAATACTAGATTTTTTTTGGGTTTGTTGCAGGTGAAATATGCACCACAGTTGCCATTTGTTCTGAAGGGCCTTACAGTCACTTTTCCGGGTGGCATGAAGACCGGTATAGTTGGAAGAACAGGAAGTGGCAAATCAACCCTCATTCAGTCCCTCTTCCGTATCGTGGACCCTACTGTCGGTCAGATACTGATAGATGGCGTCGACATCTGCACAATTGGACTGCATGATATGAGATCCAGATTGAGCATCATTCCACAAGAGCCGACGATGTTCGAAGGAACTGTCAGAAGCAACCTTGATCCTCTTGGGGAGTACTCTGATGATCAAATCTGGGAGGTAGCTTAACCTCCCAGATTTTACCTAAGTTGCTATGACATTCTATTTTATTGTCTCAAAAGGAAAGAAAATAGTTGAAATGTCAATGTTTTACTCTTGATTTCCAGGCTTTGGATTGCTGTCAGCTAGGGGATGAAGTTAGGAAGCAGGAGCTGAAGCTTGACTCACCAGGTCTGAATCTGATATATCCTTACATCAAGTCATGCAGTTCAGAGTTACTACTTTCTTTCTTTTCTTCTCATCACCTTGTATCTTTCACATGTTTTTTTACACAAAAGTATCTTTCACATGTTTTCGATCGTAGTGCTAGTTTTGCCAAAATGAAAGAATGGAGGCACACGGTACTGATATTCTTGGCTTGGATTGCAGTGATAGAGAATGGCGAGAACTGGAGCGTGGGCCAGCGTCAGCTCGTGTGTCTTGGTAGGGTGATTCTGAAACAGAGCAAGGTTCTTGTTCTGGACGAAGCCACTGCTTCAGTGGATACTGCAACCGACAACTTGATCCAGAGAACACTGAGGCAGCAGTTTAAAGAGACGACCGTCATTACGATAGTGCACAGGATCTCGTCCGTTCTTGACAGCGACATGGTGCTGCTCCTTGACAATGGTTAGTGCCACAGACAGCAGTGAGTAATTTGATGCCTTGGGTCTTCTGTTGTGAATTGTGATGACGCTGTGCTGTTGCTTGCATTACAGGCGTGGCCGTCGAGCACGACAGGCCCAACAAATTGCTGGAGGATAAGTCGTCTCTGTTCTCAAAGCTCGTAGCAAAATACACCATGCGGGCGGCGCATACATAACAGTCTATTACCACTTTACCAGATTGTAGCACAACCATGGCGATCTTCTCAAAAGAAAAACCCAACTACAAGCGGCGAGAGGGATTACAGAGAAGATGGGTAGTAGTTATCACATTAAAAATAAAACTCATAAATACATATACTTGGCAAATTATTTTTTTATTTAACAAAAAACTAATATTTTAATACAAGTACATGTCAAATTACATTTTCAGAAACTATGCCTTTTCATCACGTCACAAGTAGTGGCATGACTAAATGAATACTACTACCCTAATTGGCACACTAATCATGAACTAATCAACATATTAGCACTTATCAAAACTAATCTTGCATCGGAGTAACTAAGTAATAATATAACATACTAATAAGAGCCTAAATTTATTTACTAATAACTAAGATCAAAAAAATGTGGATGAGCTCATTATGTTAAGTGGGGAATATTCCCTTCTGGTGGTCACTCCTGTCTAAGTCACCCGCGAAACAAATACTATTCATCCATACATCATTATATTTCATCTAGGGTCCCGTGAACCAAACACACCTCTAGTTCGCCCACCAACAAAAAAAAGAGCAAGAATTGATGGTGTATAGGCACAGGAAAAAAGAGAAATTTATTGAGCTGGAGGATGGTGGTAGCATGGTGATGACCTCACCAAGTCCACAAAGAGGTTTAGGTTGAGGCAATGCCACCACGCAATAGATATAGCAGCATACAAGAGACAGAGTAGGCTATGCCAACATAGCCATTCACAAGAACTTCAATTTTTTTCGATTCAAGAACTTCAATTATTGATAGAGAACTGCTTTGGTACTCATCTTTTCTAAAATTGCACGTATCTTAAAGCGGCCCATCTAATTATCCAATTAATCATGTTCTCCATCCACATCGCCGGTCTGTTTTGTTCGGACGTTTGGTTTGTGTGTTTGCGGCGGCAAGGAGCGGACTTGGTCGACGGCTCATCCACAGCGGCACTTGCATCCCCTCTGAATCCCTTTTTGTTTATTACCGTTCATTTCTCATAACTAATTTATCTTTTGTTTTCCTCAAACATGCTTTTTTTAATATGTGCTTCATTAAAAGGAAAATTAATTTATCAAGCATATCTCTTTACCGGCATCACCACCTTTGTTGCAAACGGCACCAAACTTGTTAGAAAATCATATGGTTGAGCAAACACAAATACCCACATAATTGAGATAGTGGCAATGCAAGATAGCCAACAAAAAAAGGTTGCGGATTAGCAAAAAGAGCGAAGAAAATACCAAGGAAGAACTCAATACGACTAGCACATGAAGAGATTGAGAAAAGGCTAGGGCCCGTTTGGATCCTTAAAATTAAATTCATTCTAATAATTATAATTTAGGCATAGATTAATTAAGTTAATATATTTGTTGTAACATCCCGTGATTTTGTGTAATATAAAAATCCCGACTTTCAAAAAAAATTCTAATGAATGTGTGTTGCATGTAACGTGTAGTCAACTCAAGTCAACCTTTTTCCTATTAACCCTAATCTTTCTCAATCTTATTCAACTGAATTTACAATAATCTTGTGCACCATTTAGAGTAAGATGCACGAGTGATTTGGTTCTTGTCTTGTTGTGCTTGGAGGTAGCCCTTCTCCTAAAATCCTTGGGTAGAAAATAGAAAACCTACCTTCTTAATTCCATAGCCAGCGGGCTGCACAGGCGTGCATGCTCAATCGTGCATGCTACTGTGCTTGTTTCATTAATCACGTGAGCTCCATGCTTCCCCTGTAGTTCTCCGGGATCGGAGCAGGCACGATACAAGCAAGCCGAAGCCTACAGCCATGACGTGCACCAAGCGCAAGCAGCTTACCGTGTGTTTGGTTTTGAGACCAAGTGGGTTGGGTTGGGATGAACCCAGTTTTCTGGGATGGGATGAACCCATCTCATGTTTGGTTTGAGGTTGAAGCCGTTCCAGTTTTATGTTTGGTACGAGGGATGGAATGTGTTGGGATGGATGGTACTGTTAACTCCGTTAGTAGCTATCTGCGTGGGACCTAGCTGTCAGTGACTCCTCCCTTTTCTTCCACCTCCCGTCGCACCGCCCTGCCCCAGCGGCCCGCACCGCGTCGCCCTGCCCCGGCGCGCCATGCACCGCGCAGCCCTACCCCGCCATGGCAGCCACCTCCCGAGCAGGCTCGCCTGCCATGGCCGCCACCTCCTTGAGCTCCGAGCTCTCCCGCCTGCTTGCCACCTCCCGAGGCAGCCGCCTTGCCCTAGCCGCCCCCGTCACCCGCTGCTCATCCAGATCCGGAGGCGAGAGGAGCTACCCCGCGCCGCGCCACCATGGACGGAGCTCGCCGTGCCGCCATGGCTGGGGTCGAAGCTCGCCCCAAGTTGCGCCGCCGTGCCTACCGAGGTCCAAGGGCCAGGGGCTCGTCCCGCGTCGGAGGTCAGGGGTCGGGTGGAGGTCGCCAGTAGCTCACGCCATGGTCGGCATCCGGACATCGCTGGCACCGGAGGTCGCCCATGCCGGCGATGGAGAAGCATCCGAAACAACCCTCGCTCGCACTCACCAACGGGATGCAACGGCGTCCATCTGGGTCGAGATGATTCCTCCGATTTGGTGTTACCGGTCGAACCCACATCCAGAGGGAATATACCTTGTGCGGGATGAACCCAACCCACTGATTCTGGAACCAACCAGCAGATCATCTGGGACGGACCCGGGATATCCCAGTTGAACCCGCAAACCAAACACACCCTTAGTCAAGCACGCTGGCCTCCGTGGATCGCCCCCCACTAGCCCGGCTGACGCACTGCCCATCTAGAGCAAATGGGCGCCTCCACCTCCTCACGTCGTGGCATGCACACATGGAGCCGCCCCCTCGCATGCACATGCACAGCAGCGGATGTGTCCACTCGACCCCGTCAACCGCACACGACCACCTCGGCCGCTGCTCCATTAGGCGTGACTGCAAGGCCACTCAGCCATCCCGTTTCTGTTCCATCACAGCGCGACCCACTCGTCAGTTGCAGTGAAAGACTAGGAGCCGAAGTCACCATCTCTTTTTCGCCTTGACGCCGTCTCCTTCTTCCTCCGTACCGACTCCCCTCTGTTTTCCCATCGCCGATGCCCTGTTTTTCGTCGGAGCCGTGGGAGCAGCGACGGAGCTACCCTAGGGGCGTGGTGGGGCGGCCGCCCCAGCTACCGGCGCCGTAGCCATAGACCATCGAACCCCCTTTTCTGCAGTTCTGCCCTATCTCCGGCGACCGGCTACCGATGACGCGAGGCAGAGCGCCATGGCGAGCGTCGAGTGGTCAGGTCCATGGTTGCTGGCTTGTTGCTCCCTGTTGGGCCTTTTTTGTCAGTTTAGTCTAGCCCAGTAAAGGCCCAAATTTGGTCCCCAGTTCTCGAATCCCAATTGGTTGAGCGCATCGTCATCCGGCCGCATCGAGCACACGCCGCCACCCGCCGCCACGGCACTGTCGCTACCCTATCTACCGGCTGCCGACCTGCCATCGCCCCACTTGGCGACGGCCCACCAGCCACCCATTCACCCCGACCGACGCCGCCAGCCCAGTGCCAGCCCTAGCGCTGCGCCGCTTGCCGAGGTCCGAGGAGGGAGCCTGCCCACCGCCCCACCGAGTCTGGATGGAGGGAGGAGGAGAGGAGGAGGGGTGAGGTGCGAGAACCCTGACAACTGGGGCTGGCTGTGGTCGCGGGCAAGTTAGGGGCAGAGCAAGGGCAGCAGCTTCGTTAACGCCAAGAAAGAGATCTTCAAGGAACTTGGTATTGATAAAGTTAAGAAGAGGTTTGATGAATCTATGAAAAACCGAAGAGCGAGCTTGCCAAAGAGCTCTCGATGTCATCAACGTTCTTAGTCCTTCACCACTAGTAAGTGTATTATCATAATGTCCACTATTGTTTGAGGGCTACCATCGTTTTATTGTTATTCACTAAAACGCTAATTGATATTCATTCAATCTACAGGTTCAATCAGTCTTAGTTATTTGTATTTTGCAATGTATGGATCAACTGATCAAGAACTACTAGTTTAATCTTCAAATTTGAGATAACATCTTGTGTTTCTTGTCTACTTTTCGCCATAACGTGTGATTGCAGTGTTTTTGCCATGATTTGTGTGATTGTAGTATGCAAATGCGGTGCGTTATGAATACGGTGTCTTTTTGGTTTATTTCCTTGTTGAACTTCGCCCCACCTATAATTTTTTTTCTCGGCTCAAAATCATCTGCGTGGGGCCACGTCGCTATGCGACCGCCGAACCGCGCCCAGCGCCCACGATTTCTTGAACGCCTCGGACCCACAAACACTGAAAGCCAACCCTAGCCTTCGGAAGATTCCCAACACGCCACACTCCGCTTTGCAGGTGCGCCTACGTCACACCGGCCATCACATCCACGGCCCGGACACCGATGCACCTTGCCAAGAACCCTAGCCTCCGACTATAAGAAGCCCAGGCCAAGCCGAGCCCTCGCCATCTCCCTCCTTCCACCGCCACTCCACCTTCCTCTGCCTCCCGCTGCTCCCTTGCCACGACGCGCCAGCGCGCGGTATCTGCGCTCGCTTGCCAGAGCCAGCCGCACCAAGCACAACCTCGTCATCGCCATCACCGGATACATCGTCCTCCTCAGGCCACGCGACGACGGCCACGTCGTGAAGCCGCAGCCTCGCTTCGCCGTGTAGCAGTGAAAGTCGCAGCCTCGACCCGATGTCCACCCGCAGCCTGGTAAGCCTCCTCAGCCCCAAAGATCCCACCTTTCGTCTGCACGGTGACTAGCCTGAACCTCCACCTTGCAGAAGGAGCCGCTACCTCGGGCGTGAGCCGAGTGCGAACGTGTCCACGACGGCAGGACGCCACCGCCGCACCTCCGCTCGCACGCCATCGGAATGCCACTCCTCTCCGGACTCCATGGTGTTACCGTCTACCTTCGTCGCCGCCTCAACCCTGTCCACGACCTCGACCACGGCCGAGACCTCATCGTGCCTCTGTCCGCCCAGGAGTCGCC